TTTTCAATATCTACTCTTTTTAATAAAATTACACAAAAGAATTCAATTATTTAAAAATTTGTTAATAAAATTCTTTATGAGAACTCAATTTTAAGTAACTTTTAATTATTCAATAAATAATTTACTTTTGTATCTAAATAATTGAATTCTCGTACAATTTTCTAATAAAAATTGATTCGAAAATGAATTTTAGTTTAAATTTTAGATAATAATAGAATCTAAACTTGATCCTCTTTAATTATTATAAAACATAAAGAAATCGAGCACTCCGAGTCTTCGACTCGGAGCAATCGATATCTTCATGTTTTATAAAAATACTTTTAAAGTTGATTAATTTCAAAAAGGTTTGAATTTAAAATTTTTGAAAATCTTAATTCCTATGAAAAAATAATAACAATTAAATATTTAAAATATTAAAAAAAATTATTGTTTTCGAATAATTTTACAATTAAAGATATTCGTAAATAAATTTAACAAAACTTTTTTTTTGAATAGAATTTTTTCCTTTATTTTCTAAAAATTCAAAAATTTTCAGTTTCATTTTCAATTAAATTTTCTAATTGACAAATATAATTTATAAACATTGTTTTCCTTTATTTTAAAAAAAACTTTGAATTTTATTAAAACAATTGAAATTAATAAATAGAATTGATACAAATTATTTCCTTATGAAAATTGAGAATTTTCTACAAAAATATTAATAAACGGGAATATCTAATGTTTTTCTTCCCAAAAGAAAGAAATGAATTTGTAAACAATATTGTTATTGAGAAATAAAAATGAGTATATTTCCTACTTCTTAATAAAAATTTTTTAACAATTAACAATTTTCTAGTATTTTTTATAAATAAAAAGGAAAATAATTTGCATAATAATTTAGATCAGTCAAACGAATAACGAAATTTGTTATAGAAAAAAGTATACAAAAAAAATTAGTTACTATTTTTAAAAATTCTTCTTATTCGAATTATCTTTAAAAATAGAATTTAAAGAATAAATTAAAATGGACACAAAATTGCTCCTCCAAAAAAGAACAAAAAAAGTTCTAAAAACTTAATTTCGAGAGTTTAACTTTTGGGCAATTAATTATATTTGATAATAATGCGTTTTAGGGGGTGTACTATTGTTTATTTTTCTTTCTCGTTTGCTTCTCACCAGTTAATTACGCTTTTGAAGAATGTTTGAACTTTCGACAGTGGGCGCGCGAAATTGCATTTTCACATACACTACTATTCAGAAATACCAGTCTAGTTTTCCCTTGTATTTTCCGCTTCTAGAATACATAATACATTAAGGAATGTCGGAGAAGAGACGCATAATACATTCACAAATTAACAACATATATATATTTTTTTTATTTTTTATTTTCTTTTCCGCATGAAACTTTTGCAGTTCTAAAAATGTTTTATTTATAAGACATCTGTCGCATCCAAAGTTAACTCAAAGTTGCAGTTCAATTCATATAATTTTCTTTTTTTCAATTTTCAATTTTCATAATAAGAAAAATAATAATAAAGTAAAACAATTTTTGAAAAAGTTTATTTTTCAAATAAATATCGCATCGATGATGTTTTTTTTTTAGGATTTTGTTTATTTGCAAATTTGAAATTGAATATTTTGCAATTATTGAAAGTTTTTGATTTTATAAATTGCCAGGATATAGATTTTTACACAAGGAAAAATTTCCCAAAGGACTGTAAGATCTCTATATATAGGAGTGCCTCTTTTTTTTGCCTTCCCCACCGCTCTCATATATTGTAAAACTAGTAGAAAGTTACATTTTTCTCGCTACCCTAGAGATTTCAATCTAATAGTAACCAATGGACCTTCTCCCCATTCTTTTTTTGCATATATTTTATTGCAAAAAAAAGAAAAAAAAACAAGAATTAAAATCTTAAAAATAGCACGAGAATATTTTAACAAAACACACGCTTTTGAAATTAAGTCTAAATTAACTTTGCAAAAAGAAAAAGAATTGTAAAAAAATGAATATTAATTTAAAAAAACATTTAATAAAACTCTTTGGGAAAAATATTCATAAATGGTGAAATATTTTGCTGAAATTCAATTACTTTTAATTCAACTTTATAATTAAATTTCTTTAAAAAAATTCAATTATTTTCAAAGATTTTAATAAAATTCTTTATGAGAATTCAGTTCTTTTTAATATAATTTCAATAAAATTCCTTGAAATAATTGAATGATTTTCATAAATTACACGATGTAGGTATTTAATACAATTCTTCGTAAAAATTCAATTCTTTTCAATATAATTTTAATAAATTTTGCCAAAAAAAAATTCAATTATTTTAAAAAAATAATAATATTTTTCAAAAGAATTCAATTATTTCAAAAATTATGATGAAATTCTTTATAAAAATTTCATTATTTATTCAATGAAAATCTTTTTTCAATTCAATTATTTTCAATACAATTTTAATAATTTTTCTCTACATAATTTAATTATTTAAAAATTTTTAATAAAATTCTTTATAAGCATTCAATTATTTTCATAATTATGGTAAAATACTTTGCAAAATTTCATAAATTTTCAAAAATTCTAATAAAATTTGTTAAAAGAATTCAATTATTTGTAATATAATTCTTAAATTAAATTTCTTAACAAGATTTAATTATTTTGAAAAATTGAAAACAAACTTCTTTGAAATAATTGAATTATTACTAAAAATTCTAATAAAATTCTTTGCGAAAATTCAATTATTTTCATAGATAAAATTATTTTTAGAAATTAAATTATTTTCAATTTAATTTAAATAATATTTTTCTAAGAAATTCAATAATTTAAGAAATTTATTAAAAATTCTTCGAATGAATTGAATTATTTTCATGAATAATAAAATTCTTGTAAGGAGTTCAATTATTTTCAATCTTTAATAAAATTCTTTATAAGCATTCAATTCTTTTTAATACCTATAATTTTACTTTAACTCCTAGGAATAATTTAATTATTTTCAAAAATTTTAATAATATTCTTCGAATCAATTCAATTATTTTCAAAAATCTTAATAAAATTCTTTTGCAGAAATTCAATTATTTTTATAAATAAAAAAAATCTTTTTGGAATTCAATTTTAATAAAATTTCTCAAAAAAATTCATTTATTAAGCAAGAAGCAGAAGCAAAATAAATGTTTTGCTATAAAGATACATATTTTTTAATTTATTAAATAAATAAATAAATATTGTTATAAAGTCTCAATTAAAACTTGCAAAAAAAAGAATTTAACAAAAATGAATAATACTTAAAAAAAATTAAGTAGCAAAGTAAAAGCGAAATATATATTTCGCACGTCTAAATTAAAATTGCAAAAAAATTTTAATAAAATTTATTGCAAGTATTCAATTATTTTTATAAATAATATTAATATTGTTCGTAAGGATTCAATTATTTTTAAAAATAATAACATATTTTGCAAAAATTCAATTACTTTCAAAAAAATTTCACGAAAGAATTCAATTTTGTTTAAATTCGTTACAAAACTTCAATTATTTTCTAAAATTTTCATAAATCCTTCGAAACAATTCAATTATATTTATAAATAATAAAATTCTTCGTGAAAATTCAATTATTATCAAACAAATTTCATGACAGAATTAAATTTTTTAAAATTCGTTACAAAAATTCAATTACTTTCAAAAAAATTTCAATAGAATTCAATTATTTTCTAAAATTTTAATAAGAATCGATTTAATTATATTTATAAATAATAAATTCCTTTGCAAAAATTCAATTATTTTTAATACAATTTTACTGGAATTGCTCAAAAAATGTAATTATTCTTAAAAACTTAATTTCAATTCCTCGAAAAAATCAATTATTTAAAAAAATGTTTTTTTTAAATATTTTTTGGAAGGATTGAATAATTATTTTCAAAAATTGAATAAAATTATTCAAAAGAAATTAATTATTTTAAATACAATTTTAATTAAATTTTTTTGAAATAATTCAATTATTTTTTTACATTTTAATTTAATTTTTTTTGAAGAATTCAATTTTTTACACAAATAATTTTTCGAATGAATTCAATTATGTCGATAAATAAGAAAATTACTTCCGAAAATTCAATTATTTTGAGGTATTTTAATAAAATTCTTTTCAAAATTCAATTATTTTCATAAATAACAATATTCATCACAATGATTCAATTATTTTTAAAAGTAATAAATTTCTTCTTGAAAATTCCATTATTTTAAAAAATTCTAATAAATCGTTAGCAAGAATTCAATTATTTTCATAAATAATAAAATGATTTTTAGGAATTCAATTATTTTCAAAAAAATTTAATAAAATTTCCCACAAACATTCAATTATTTAAAAAATGGTTCGTAAAAATTTTCGGAAGAATTCAATTATTTAAATTATTTTATAAAATTCTTCGCAAGAATTAAATTATTTTTATAAATATATTTAAATTCTTTCATTAATAATAAAATTCGTTGCAAGAATTCAATTTATTTGCAGGATAAGAAAAAAGTAAATATTTTTGATGAAAATTAGGAAAAAGTCAGAAAAATAAAAAATATGGAATGGAATTTTTGTCAATTTTGTGAAGTGAATAAAACGAGTTTTTTTTTTGTTTTTTTAACATTAAGAAAATGACAATAACCCACAAAAATTAATTTTCAAAACAAACAAATGAATGCAGAGAATTTGCTAACGGAAAGGAAACTTACGATTATTATAAAGTATATTATAAAGTATATTATTATTATAAAGTATTAAATTTTTTAAAATGAAATAATTAAATAAAATCGAATTGAAATTAAATTTAATCTTTAAAAATTAAATAAATAAAAGAAAAATTAATTTGTTAATTTCCGTTCAACACAATATTGGGGATAAAAATTTACAGAAATATGTATGAATAAATATTTATTCGAATTCAAAGAATGGGAAAAAAATGAATTTTTTCAATTCGAAAGAAAAATTTTAATTTTAATTAAAAAATGATGCTAATTATTTATTCCTTTTTATTTTCAGCTATAGCTCAAGTGGCGCTTGGTAGTGTTCAAGGCTATCATGGAATGGTACTGGCGTGCGGTCTTTATGGTGCATCTCTTGGCGGAGCTCTATATTCATTAAAAATGTTGGCCCTCGAGAGATTAAGATCGAGTCAATTCGCAAGATCTTGGGCTCTGGTGCAAGCTGCGGAAGCTTTGCCAATTTTATTCGGAGTCCCTCTAACTGGTTTGTCAACACATTTCAAAATTCTCTCGAAACGAGAAAATAGAAATTTCGCTGAATTCAAAATTTATTCTACTTCAATTCAATATTTTTCGGACAAATTTTTTTCAATTTATTCTAATTTATTTATTTCACTACAAGGTTCAGATTTTATTTTACTTATCAATTATAATGAATATTTTTTTCTTTCTTTAGAGAAAAGTAAGGAGTAAGGAAAAAAAATAGATTAATTAAAATTAATGAACAATTTTTGTTTCTCTTTTTTTGTATTTTTGTTCTCTTTGCATAAAATCTTATTCGTTTATTAAGTAATAAATTACATCGCTTGTAATTTTGGTGAAATAAAGTTTTCACTTTAGCAGCAAGTAGATGAAAACTCATAAGGTCCTCTTCCCCTCATTCCTCCCTGGGGAAAATTTACGTGCAAATTCTAGTATAACGTCAAAGAGGCTTTAGAGAACCAAAGAGGGTATTATATTGCACATGTTGTAGAATCACTATAAGATAATTTAGGAAGCGGATCAAATAATACCTATTAGAATTGTAATTAAATGTACATTCCTATATTTGAAGAGAATTCTCTCTCTCTCTCTCTCTCTCTCTCTCTCTCTCTCTCTCTCTCTTTCACTCTCTTTCCATGTATATTTTATCATTAAAAAACCATTAAAAGGTAGTAGTTCATTTGAAATAAACGTGTGGCGGTGACTTAATTTCATTTGATGTCATTAGTTTTGACGAACGTTTCAATATTTTTATTAGAATTTCACAAGTCATTCAAAATATTATTAAAACAGAAAATGACTGAACGTGTATTTTTTAATTAAATATTCCTAGAGATTATATCATTTTATTTCTTCTTTCGTTAAGAAATTATTTTAAATTTGTAAACATTTATTTAAATAAGTAGGGTCAATATTTTATTGCTAGTTTGCAAATTTTATGTACTTGATGATTCGAACATTCAAACAATCACAATTTGCGAAAAACGACAATTAAGTTGAATTTCTGTATTTCTTATTTTTTTATGAGCTATTCCTTACTTTTATTTTTTTCAGTTTCATAATTTTCAATGAGCAATAAAAAATTGTCATTGACAAATCGAAAAACTTGAATTATTCAAAATCAATTAAATTTGCTTTAATCACTTAAATTATTGGTTCAAATACAATTTAGTTGATTTTATTTGGTTCACGTAAATATTTATTTGCAGGACAAGTAGGTTACTTGGAGCAAATAAATTTTCTTTTGAATGTAACATTTGGTAAAATTATTAATAATAAAGTACATGTTCCGGTAATTTGTTCACAGTTTGAAGTTAGTTGTTGTTTGCTTTTTTGTTTCTTAACTTTTTTTATAATTTTTTTTTCCCAATATTTTCAATTTTAAAATTCATGTATTACAAATCATGCATTCAGGGTTGCCATGCTTTTGCTCATTTAAAATTCCCTGACTTTTTTAGGTTAAAAAACGGAATTTTTCCAGGTTTTTAAAACGACACTTTTTGACAACAAAAATTTAATTTTGTTTTTCCCTGACTTTCCCTTGAACTCCAGAGAAAATTCTTATATTCTCATTCAGTTTAAAAATTATTACTCAGAAAAATGTTCTATTGCTTCTTTTTTAAATAAATATTTAATCATTATAATTTTTCCATAAGATTTAAGATTTTCAAAAATTTCAAATTCAAACCTTTTTTTAAATTAAACAATTTTAAAAAAATTGTTATAAAACATGAAGATATCGATCACTCTGAGTCTTGGACTCGGAGCAATCGATATCTGCATGTTTTATAATAATTAAAAATGGCTCAATGATAAAATCATTATTTTATATTATAAGAATATTGTTACTGTAACTTATTCAAAATAACTTTCATCACTTCAATTCAATTATTGTTTTCCAGAATTTTTAACTAGAATTCTTCTTTAAATTCATATTGTTTTGAATAATTTTTCAAAAATTTCTTTAAAAATTTTCAAATCCTTTTGTTTACAATTCAATTTTACGAATTTTCATCAATCATTCGGAAATGTTTCAATTAAATATATTAGAAAATAAAAACTTCAAATAATTTCAAAAAAGTTCGATTAAACTTTTTTAAAAAAATTCAATTTACACAATTTTCAGTTAAAATTATGAAAAATTCAAACTTTCAAAGATTATAATTTGAAACCTTTTAAAAATTCAATTATTTCTAAAAATTCACGCTATAATAGTTTCTTTTTAAATTTTAATTTGTAAAAATGTTTACTAAGTGGAATTAGTGACTGACTTTTTGCTTTTGAATTAGTAAATTTTACTATTAAATTAGTAGAAACGACTATTTATTGGTAAAAACGATTATTTATTGTTAATTCAAAAGCAAAAAGTCAGTCACTAATTAAAATTTAGAAAGTTTAATATTCAATTATTATCCAAAATTTGAACTAAAACCCATATATAAATCAATTTTTATTAGAAAATTCTACAAGAATTCAATTATTTAAATACAAAAATAAATAATTTATTGAATAATTGAATGTGTCTTAAAATTGAACTCTCATAAAGAATTTCATCAACAAATTTTTAAATAATTAAAATTCTTTTGACGAATTTTAAGAAAATTTTTAAGAATAGTTTCATTTTTGGATAAATTAGATTAAAATTGTATAAAAAATAATTGAATCTCTGTAAAAAAAATTTCATTGAATTGAGAAAAGTTTTTGAATTCTTGACAAGAATTTTATTACAGCTTTTGAAAATAATTGAATTCTTGGAATAATTTTATTAAAATTTTTGAGAAGAATTGATTTATTTTGAAGAATTTTATTACGAACTTTTAAAAAAAATTAAAATATTCTAACAAATTTAATTAAAATTATGATGACAATAATTTAAATCCTATAAAGGATTTTATCAAAGTTTTTGAAAAAAAATTGAATTCTCTTGAAAAATTTCATTAAAATTTTTTTAAAATATTTGAATCTTGTTGAGAAAGTTTATTAAAATTGTATATTGAAAATAATTGATTTCTTGAAAAGAATTTTATCAACAAATTTTTAAATAATTCAAAGTCTTTTTACGAATTTTAAGAAAATTATTGAGAATAATTTTATCTTTGGAGAAATAAGATTAAAATTGTATTAAAAATAATTGAATCTCTGTAAAAAAATTTCATTGAATTGAGAAAAGTTTTTGAAAATAATTGAAATTTTGACATAGAATTTTGTTAAAGTTTTGAAAATAATTGAATTTCAAAGAAGAATTTTATTATTTATAAAGATAATTGAAATTTTGACGAGAATTTATTTAAACTTTTGACCATAATTTGAATTTCTTTGATGAATTTTAATAAAGTTTTTAAGAATAATTACAATTTTCGAGAAATTTCATTAAAATTGTATTAAAAATAATTGAAATTCTGCGATGAGTTTTTATTATTTATGAAAATAATTGAATTCCTAGTACAAAATGTTATGCTTCATGAAAATAATTTATTTATTGCAAAGAAATTTATAAAAAATTTGTAAATAATAGAATTCCTGCGCAATTTTTATTATTTAATTCATTCATTCAAAATTCAAATTTTCTAAAACTTCAAATTAAAACCTTTTGAAGTTTATCTATTTAAGAAAATTGTAAACGCAACTCTTTTAAAATTCAATTAATTTTGAAATATTTAAGTATTTCGTCATGTTTTATAACAATTTTTTAAAAGTTGTTTAATTTCATAAAGATTTGAATTTGAAATTTTTGAAAATCTTAATTCCTATGGAAAAATAATAATAATAATTAAATATTTATTTAGAAAAAGAAGTTATTGATGTTTTCGAATAATTTAAAAGTAATTCGTAAATAAATGTAACAGAACATTTTTTTGAGTAAATTTTTTTCCTTTATTTTATAAAAATTTTAAAAGTTTGAATTTCATTTTCAATTAAACTTTGTAATTGACAATTAGAATTTTTAAACATTTTTTTTTTCTTTATTTTTAAGAAACTTTGAATTTTGTTAAAGCAGTTGTAATTAAGAAATATAGAAATGATGTAAAGTATTTCCTTATGAAAATTGAGAATTTTCTACAAAAATATTAAGAAACGGGAATATATGTTTTTTTCCAAAAATTTCAAATATTTCAAATATTATTTTATTATAAATCATGAAAAAATACGTTTGCATATTTTCGATTTGTCAAACAATATTTTTTAAAGAAAAAAAAAGGATACACAAAAACTAACTTCTAAGTGTGAACAGACAGAATTTATGAAATAATGAAATATGAAGATTATTATTTAGTAGATAATAATAAATAGTTTACAAAAAAAAGCTTTCTGATATTTAAAATTTAAGTCAAAAAGTAATTGAAAAATGTAAAAAAAGTCGATTAGTCGCATTTTTTTTTAAAAGTCGAAAAAAGTCGAAAAAGTCGTACAATCCGAGCCATGCCGAGGAATTCAATTGAAATTGTTTTGAAAATAATTGAATTTTTGTAAAGATTTTACTATTTAAAAAAATAATTGAATTGTTTAGAAGGATTTATTAAAATTTTAAAAAATAATTGAATTCTTTCGTGAAATTTGATTAAAATTTTTGAAAATACGAACAGCAATAATTAATTTTGTACTTAATAAGTGAATTTTTTAAATTTTGATTATGAAATTATTTAAAAAATTTATATTTGAAAATAAAAAAATTTGTAATTTGCATAAAAATAAGAAATCGAATACCACGTTCCGCGCGCAAGTGCGCGTAACATTTGCTATAGTATTTAATAATATTTAAATGATTTAAATGTTTATTTCAGTGTAAAATTTGTTGGTACATATATTTAATAATAATTAGTGAATTTAATCTGGTGAATTAATTGAATGATTTTTTTTTCAGGTTACATGAACGCGAATAATCCGCGCGTTGGATATTACGCGTGCACATTGAGTTCCTTGTGTGGTGCTGCACTTTTGTTCCTAGTCGGTTGGGGAAGACAGCCGACATCGCCTCTAGTTGTTGGTCCTAGAATACCAAATGTCAGTGGAATGCCGCCCCCGTGCGCTTGTCCACCGCCGCCTAGGCCGAGATTGCCCAAGTCTCAATCTCTTTATGTCCCACTGGACGTTGAGCATAATTATCGAGAACATTATCCGCAACGTGCAATGAATCAAGAACGTTATTGTCATGCTCAATGCCACACGAATCTCAGGCCAAGTAAAAGCGTTCCCGAGGGTCTTGAAAATCACAATAATAATAGTTTACGACGACCACCGCGTCGTCATCGCGACGTGACTGTCATCGAACAAATTACGACTAGTGTCTAATGAAAAAAAAAAAATTATAAATAAAATACAGTCAAGAGGGAAAATCAATTGATTAATAATCATCGCGCACAATTTATTCTGGTCCACAAGCGATTCTCTGATGGACGCATTGAGCTTATTATCATTCTGTCGAATTTCAATTTCACATATACGAAATTATAGACTTTTTGTAATCATTTTTTTTTTCTCTTAAGTATCTAGAATTAAGAAACTGAATAACGATTATTTTCTTAGTTTGCAAATTCTTTTTTGCAACAAACTCCTTTTATTTGTTTCAAAAAAATTTTTATTTGGTCAAAATAAATTATTTACTTATTTCAAATAAATTTTATTTGATCAAAATAAATTATTTCTTTGTTTCAAATAAATTTCATTTGATAAAAATAAATTATTTCTTTGTTTCAAATAAATTTAATTTGATAAAAATAAATTATTTATTTGTTTCAAATAAATTTTATTTGATCAAATGAAATTATTTCTTTGTTTCAAATAAATTTCATTTGATAAAAATAAATTATTTATTTGTTTCAAAGAAATTTTATTTGGTCAAAATAAATAATTCATTTGTTATAAAAAAAATGTTATTTGGTTCAAATAAAAATATGATTTCTGCTAAATAAAATTTTCTATTTTAAGCAAATAAATAATTAAGTAATTAACAGAGAAAAATGTACATTTATTTAACACAAAAAATATATTTGGTTCAGAAATTAGATATATATTTCTCAGAGTGCTATTTCGAACAAAATAATTAGATTCTAATCTAATAATTACCCAGCGACATTTGAAATTTTGAAAGAGAGAAAATTGATGAGCAATAATTAGAATATTTCACATTCATTTTAGTTAATTATTTATTAAGTTTCACGTTTGGATTGCATTCCGCATCAAAAATGATTATCTGTTTCGATATATTCTTTGATCTCGTTTGAATCGCTATTCAGTTTTAAATATGTTTAAAATTTAATTCTGTTACGCTGAACGAAAAATTAAAAAGGAGTAAATTAATGACTATTAGTCAAATAAATATATAGTTTCGTCAAACTAAATTTTATTTGAGAAAAAATTTATAATTACGAAAAAAGTAAATATTTGTTTTTACTAAAAAAATATTTATCATTAATAAATATTTATTAATAACAAATATTTATTAATAACAAATTCTTATTAGTAATAAATATTTTTTATCAATAAATATTTATTACTAAGAAATATTTACAACCTAATAAATATTTCTTCCAACGAATATTTATATCCAATAAATATTTGTTAGTAAAAATACTATTTAGTTTTAAATATTTACAACTAATAAATAATTGTTTACTGGTTAATTGTCAATTAAAATTTATTATAAGATTTAATTTTCTTCAGCGTTTCATAATTCTAAAATTAATCTAATTCAGAAAAAGTGAATTATTTTAATTAAGAAAATTTCAAAATATATTCTCCAAAACAAAAATATTCTCACTTTCGAAGAAAGAAAATTGTTTCAATTTTGTAATAAGTAAAATAATTTTTATTCTCTAATGAATAAAACTATTTCGAGTGAATATAAATTTAAAGTGAATATTAATTAAAAAATGATTGTTTAATTATTAATAACGATAATTTTCTTTCCGTACCGTATACGGAAATTAAAATAAATTACAAGCACCAAATATAATTTGGACTTGTAATGAAAATATTTAGTAAAAAAGAAAAGAATACTGCCCGAATTTCAAATTATAGTTTCAACATTTTTGTTTGTTTAAAACAACACGATTAATTAATTAGTTAATTATTAATTAATTAATTAATTATTTGAATTAATTAATTTAATTAATCTAATCGATTATAAATATAAAGAGAAATAATTAACCAATATTTTCCTTTATAATTTTTAATAATCGTTTCTTGTTAAAAATGTGTAATAAATATTTTCTACTCTTCTTCCGTTCTCTAAGAAATTTTTCAAAATAAAATCTTTGGAAATTTCAAGGAGAACATTATTATTTTTCAAAAGTAAAAGAAAAAAAATATATTGATGACAAAAATTATCATCAAACAAATTTCGATTTTTTATTCTTTCTATAAAAAGAAAAATTTTCTACGTTAAAAAATTTTTTATGAATTGTTCCACAATACTGTGATAATCCATAAAACACATAAATATGTACTTGAAAAATAATTTAAAAAGATTAAATATAGTTGACATAGTTTTTTCAATATAAATAGTGTCTCGATGAAATTTACAATTTTAAATCTATTTCAACTGCGTGTAAATGGAATATTTGTAACTGTTCATAAAATGTATATTGTTGTTAGTAACATTTTTCTATATATAATATATAATTATTTTTTATTTACATATTAATTTAAATTTTTTTATTACTTTATATTATAATAATACTCTAATTCATCTATTTCCTGAAAGAAATATTTCTTTAAAAAAAGTCTTTAAAAAAATGTTCTCTAAAAAATAAAATTTAATTTCAAATTCTCATAAAAATAAATCCCGCAGAATTTTTGTTAACTTCTCAAAAAGTCTTTTTGGAAATAAATTTATCAGGAGAAAAACATTTGCAATTGAAAAAGAATTAATACAAAAATGTTTGGCATCTCAAAAAAGAAATTGGGACCCAATTTTTTAAGAACCTTAGAAATTATTTAAATTGTTAATAAAAAATAACACTTAAAAAATTATAAGGGAACAATTTTTCACTAGTTTTTGAATTAAAAGAAACAATTTCCATTGAATTTGTAAAATTTACACAAAAAAAAACTATGTACATTATTTATAAGTGTTGAAATAAATTGGCAAAAAAATGACAATTATAATCGATAATCTCAAATTTTTTGAGAATTATATATATAATTATTATATAAAAATTATATATGTATATATAAAATATATATATATGCGTTAATATTAATTAAAAAATAATAATGTAAATTATTATTTTTCATATAATATTTATTAAAATTTAATTTTTAGTATATAGTTTATTTATGAAAAAAATAATGTGTAGTTTATGGAATATATGTGAATGTATAAATGCGAGAAAAACACTTTTTTAAAAAGTGTGTTCGTGAAAAATTTAAAAAGTCGAAAGAAAGTTGTATATTTAAATAGTTAAAAATATGTCCTTAGTCCTATTTCATTGTTAAACTAAAAAATATGTACGAATCACCGTTTTGAAAAAAAATCCGATGTGATAAAAATTAAAATTGCAATTAAATTAAAATAATTTTCTTTTCTAATTACGAAAGAAAACCGATAGAATTAGACATCTATAGGAAATAATTAAAAGAGAAAAATGTCTTCTGTTTCTTTTTGACAATTATTATCGAAAAAATAAATGTTGCAATTGAGATAGAAATTCATAAAAAAATTTTATACAATTGTTACCGTAGATAACAAATAGTAATCAATTGATCTTGTAGTTTTTATGAAAATACTAAGCAAATATTTATACATAGTATTATGTTTATAAAGGAAATAAATAATGAAAAAAAAATTGACACTTCTATACATTCAAACATAATTCCACGCAATAATTAAAACCAAAAAAAAAAAGAAAAAGAAAAAAACAGGTGTAAATTGAATAATGTACATAAAAATAAAATAAAATTTTATTATAGTGAAATTATTATACAATTTAGAGAAAAAAATATTTATCAAGAATTAAAAAATAACGATACAAAAGGGTCGTAATATTTAAATAAACAATTTAGAGATATGCAATTTGTCGAAATTTAATTTATCAATGGTATTTATTAATACTACTCTCACAGTATTATTTTATTAATAATTAATAATAAACAATTCTGTCAACATTAATTTTCTTATTTCTATCAATAATAGAAAATTTTACGAATAATTAATAACAAATTTTATTAAAAATTGTCAATGAAAAAGTTTATTAATAATTAATAATAAAAAATGTTATCAATAATTATTAGTAGAAAATTTTATCAATAATTAATAACTAATTTTATAAACAATTAGTAATGAAAATTTTTATCCTAAATTTATAATAAAGAACTTGATCAATAGTTAATAAAAAAATTTTTTTGTTAATAAAAAAAAATTTTATTATTAATTATTAATGAAAAAGTTTTTTAATAAATAATAATAAAATACTTGATCAATAATTAATAATAAAAAATTTTATTAATAATTAATATTAAAAAATTTGTATTAATATAATTTATAATCAAAGGTTTTATTAATATTTAATAATTAATAATAATAAATTAATTTGTCTGGTTGAAATAATATTTTAATATATAAAAAAAATTAATGATGAAAAATTAAAATTTCGATTGATTGTAAATTCTCTAAAACTGAATTAATTAATTCACGCCCTAATGTGTATCACTGAAAAAAATACTAAAGTGCTTCCTTTTATTTCGAAAATAATTTAACATTTTGAAATTGTTTGTTATTAAAAATGTGTTTTAAAAAAATATTTTATAAAACCCATATCAAATTATTGTACTACAAAATAATTAATGTTCTTATTAAGAGATAAATATAATCTGAAAAATTATTTTGTCCTTTTAGCTTTGAAAATTGTTTATGTAATTATTTAAACATTTAAGAGATTATTTTTAACAATCAACAACTATATGATAATAAAATTATAAAATAAGAACTTGTTTTTTATTACCTTTCAATTTTTCTTTTGAAGTTTCGTATTTTCTTCATTTTATTTCCATTTGTTTTCATAATTTTATCCATTTTATCATTTTATTATTGTCATTTTTGTATCCAAAACTAGAGTTGTTTCTTTTTAAAGAAAATTTAACACTTTTATTTATAAACTAGCACATAATTATATATACTTATAATAATAATAATACCAATAACACTTAATTATACTTTTTACATTTACAATTATTAATTAATTCACTGTTTACTTTTAGTTTTAGTATTTTTTTCATCAGCACAATCCACAGTTTGTTTTTTAATTTTATCACCTGAAGATATCTGCAGATGACGCCATTTGTAATTTACAGGTTTACCAACAATTTGAATTTATTTGCACATGAATACAAATTAACTAAAATATTTATAGATTTTGTTTAAAACTTTATCAATGTTAATAAAATATAGCTCCTTGCTTTTTATTTAATTATTTCTTTTTTTTTAATAGATTCGTCTATTTATGAACTATTGAAAATTAGCGGGAAAATATTACAAATTTGAAATGTTTACAATTTAAATTCACGCGCTTATTTTAACCAGTCGAAGAAATTTTCAAGCGCTTGCGCAATTTACACACAAGACGCTAACTTCGCACAAGTGACATTTATTTCTTGGAGCTCTTGGAGGTTAGATTTTTCTCTCATAATAAAAATTGGAGACAAATTATAACTTACATGAAATGGATAAAATATTATCAAAATGTTTTAAACACAGTGTGAAATAATAATGAAAAAGTAATTTAATTTTAAGTGGATACTTTCTCTTAATTATCCATGTGGTGAGTAGTTGTAAATAATCAAAAAGTGTTTATTTTTAAGTCGATTTGCTTTGCCTTTATCTTCATTAATTATTCAATAAAATTTATAAACTTAATTGATTTCGTTTTATTTTTTCGTTAATTTTCAAAAGGTCATAGAGGGAAAATATTTACAAAATATCAAGATTATTTTCTTGAATTGTTATCTTTTTTATACATCAATATTTTTAATAAAAACAACTGGTTATATAAAGGTCAAAGTTTTTTTTTGTAATTTTGTCTTTTTTCTTTAAAACGTTTAAAAACTAAATTTTTCTTTTTTAAAACTTGATAATTTGAAACTCTAACACCAATAATTCAGAAAGATAAGAATTTTCTTTACCGAAATTTTTTTCTTTCTAAAAGATAAAAAATGTACTAGTCACTTTATCTTTTGGAAAAGGAGAAAATACACAGATCTGATATATTAATTAAACATATTAATCTATTAGTTAATATTGAGAATTGAAATTTCCAATTTCTTTTTTCTTGCAGATAAAAGTGATATTGAAAAGAAAATGTCAAACCCGGAAATAAACGGAGGTCAGAATTATTATTGGTCAGCAGAGACAGTTTCTGCACAATCAACAGTATCACAAAATCTCGGTTATTATCAAACGGGAAATGTAAATTTTTCACTTCCCGATGTCACGCAACCACCGCCAAATTTTCGTCTACCACAAAATTCTGTCACTGATAATAAAGTCGTAAATTATCAGCAATATTCATCTGGGCAGGTGAATCTTGCTACTCAATTTCAAAATGGAAGTGTTTCGTCTTTCCAGTCGAATTTTCAACAAATGAATTCTCAATGTGTCAATCAAAATTATTGTATTCCTTCTGGACCGAGTGCTATTCAAGAAAATCAGAATTACAATTATTGGTCGTCAAATTCAGTCAGCGCGAATAATGCAAATCGTTTAGAAACAAATTGGCCACAATCTGTGAATCATACAACAACTTGGAGTACACCATCGAAGTCGAATGGAATTTACTCTGCGGAATCGTCCAGAATTGATGAAAAACGTTCGAATAGACATGAATTTTCTAAAAGATCCGAATGGCGACGCGAAAGACGATCAAATAGTCGCGATAATAGTCGTCGAAGGTCTATCAGTCCTGAGAGTAGATCGCGATCATCTAAATCAAGGTTATTTATCAATTTTTATTATTTACTTTTTTATTAATAAAATAATTTTTTTATTTTCTTTTATTCTATTTTTAATTCTTTTTTATTTTTTTTAAATATTTTTAATTATATTTTTCTTTTTATTCTTTTTTCCTCATTTTTTAATTCAATCTGACAATTTTCTAGATTACGATACGACGACAGAAGAGACGATCGAAGGGATGATCGAAGAGAGAGGTACAATAAATACGAGCGAAGAAGACGAACGTCGAGGGAAAGATCGTATGAAAGGAGAAGCGAGAGAAATTCCGAAAGATCTCATCGCGATAACTCCTACAGTTCTCGATCTTCGACAACAAATTTAGATCGAGGCAGTGAAAATCGAAGAAAACGAACTTCCAAGTCACACGATTCGCCTCCTCGCCCTTCATCGCCGAGTAAATCCTCCACAAAGAAATGCCTTTCCGAAAGGGAACTTATTTTAGAAAAATACAGGTAAATATTTATATTTTCTCAATTTGCTTTTATTACAGGCCTCGGACTCACTAAAGTAGTTAAAAAAAGTAGTAAAAAGTAGCTTTAAGACTGAAAAAACTGGCTATTGAAAAATTAAATTTGACGACTAAAAACAACTCGTTTTAGATGATTCAGAAAAATTTAATTCTGCATTTTTCTCTAATTTTCCTTAAAAAAAATTACATTTTTTCTCATACTGCAAATAACTTAAATTCTAAATTTTTAAAAAATTTAATAATTTTCTAAATTTTAATTTTAAATTCTACAAAAATACGATTATATGTAAAAATATAATTTTTAAATGTACAATTTATTTTCATCAAGTTTGACAATATTTCTAAATAATTGAAAATATAATTTAATCTTTTAAAAATAATGTAAGGGAATTCAAATATCTGTAAAAGATTTTAATTTCAATTTTTCAAAAGTCAAATATTTTTCATAATTTTCAAATTAAATTACATTCAAAACTTGAATAATTTTTGTTAAATAAATATTTAAATACTTATTTATTTATCCACAGAAATTACATTTACAATATTTTAAATGATTACTGTGTACAATCTTTTTGAAATTTGACAATTTCTTAAAATTACAACTGTAATTCTTCCAAAATTCAATAATTTTTTTGTCAACGTTTTTAATTAAAATTATTCAAAACTTTAATAATTTTTTAAGAAAAAAATAAAATTACACATATATTAAAAAAATAAAAAGTTAAATATTGTTACAGTTTTACAACAATTTTTCTTCTTAGAAACTTCTACGAATATTCAATTATTTAAATTTAAAAATAAATAATTTATTAAATAATTGAATATTTTTTAAATTGAATTCTTATAAAGAATTTTATCAAAATTTCTTAAAATAATTGGATTTTTTCGAAGAATTTTCATAACATTTTTAAAAATAATTGCATTTTTCCAGGAATTTATTTAAAATTGTATAAAAAATAAGTGAAATTCTGTGAAACGTATCATTATTTATAAAAATAATTAAAGTCTTGCAAAGAATAAAATTTTTTAAATAATTGATTTTTTGTAGAAAAAATTCAATGAAAATTATATTTTAAATAATTGAATTCCTGTAAAAATGTTATTATCTATGAAAATAATTAAAGTTCTGTGAAGAAGTTTATTAAAATTTTATTCAAAATAATTGAATTTATCTAAAGTATTTTATTATTTACTTGAATAATTGAATTCTTACAAATTTTTTTCGACGAATTGAATTAAAATTTTATTAAAAATAATTCAATTCTTATATACAGAATTTAAATAAATTTTTTAAAAATAATTGAATTTATGTGAAGAGTTGTATTAAAATTTTCAAATAATAATTGAATTCCCGAGAAAAATTTTATAAAAATTCTTCTAAATAGTTGATTTTTGTCGAAAAAATTTAATAAAAATTGTATTTTAAATAATTGAATTCCTGTAAAAATTTTATTATTTATGAAAATAATTGAATTGAAAAAATTAAATAAAAATTGTATTTTAAATAATTGAATTCCTGTAAAAATTTTATTATTTATGAAAATAATTGAATGTTTACAAAGAATTTTATTAAGATTCTTTAAATAATTAAATTCTTTTGGTCAATTTTTTTAAATCTTATAGTAGATATTGAAAATAATTGAATTTCTGCGAAGATTTTCATTATTTTGAGGAAAAATAATTGAATTCTTACGAAAAAGTTTCTTAAAATTTATCAAAATAATTGAATCGTTTCAAAGAAATTAAAAAAATTTTTGAGAATAATTTTTGATTTTAATTATTAGCTCATTTACAGTAGTGTGAATTCTAAACAAAAGAAAAATAGTAGCTTTTAGTATCACAGATTTAAAAAAAAGTATCCAAATAGTAGCAAATCAAAAAAAGTAGTAAATAGTTGATTTTATTAGATGAGTGTGAAGTCTGTTATTATAATAAAAATCCGTTATATTTTCTTCTATTGCTTTATTACAATAAAGAAATAAAAAATAGTTTTCATATTTTCTAATATTGATTTGTTATTATTTATAATAAAAATATCACAAAAAATTACAGACGAAATTATTGTGCAACGAGCAAAGATATCGAGCGAAAAATGGGCGAATTGAATGCAATGGGCACTGAACGAATTCTCGAGAATGAGAGAAAGATTTGGACCCGAACTGCACCGGCCGATTTGTATTATTCGAGGGATGAGAAAAATCCAAAAATTATGCGAGCCACGACAAAATTAAATGAATTGGGTGAAATTTTTAAGAAATTGTTTATAGAACGAGCGGCAGCTGCAAGAGCCTTGCAGGTATTAAATTTTCTAGAAACAAAAGTAATTATAGAAATAAATAGAAAATAAATCAGGAAAAAAATAATGATTTTGGTGAAATAATTACAATTTTACTTTTCAGCCGCCGTATGAACCGCCGGCAAGAAAAACGAGAGCTCGTTTATGTAAACACAAATCAGAAGCGTGCAGTAGTTCGTCGTCGGATAGTGATAGTTCATTGGAAGAGGACGATAGAACAATGGAGGAATTAATGGCCAAAAAATCACATCCCCAAAGGTTACATCCTGAAATGTGGTTCAACGATCCAGGCGAGGTATGTCGTTTAAGAATTTTTATTTATAGAAAAACTAACAACCACGAACAACAATCGAATATTAAATTAAATAGCTAGTACAGGCTTCGTACTCGATAATTAATTTTAAAAAAGTAGCAAAAACTAGCTTAAAGATAAAAAAAATAGTAAAAAAAAGTAGCTATCGAAAAATTAAACTTGACTTCTCAATTTTTTTATAATTTCTTAATTACATTCAAAAATAGAATAATTTTTTAAAATAAATATTTAAATACCTGTATTTATTTTGTCTACAGGAATTAAAATATTTCAAATGATTTTAATGCAACGCATTTTTTAAATTTAACTATTTCTAAAAATTACAAAAGTAATTCATTCAATATTTAATCATTTTTTTTGTTAAAATTTGTAAATAAAATTAATCAAAACTTTAATCATTTTATTTTATTCGATTCTAAATCAATTCTTATTAGAAAGTTCTAAGAGAATAAAATTATTTAAATACAAAAATAAATAATTTATCATGAATAATTAAATATTTCTTAAATTTGAATTCTTATAAAGAATTTTATCAACATTTTTCAAAATAATAATTGAATTTTTACGAAGAATTGCATTAAAATTTTGAATAATAATTAAATTTATTCAAGAAATGTAATTAAAAATTAATTGAAAATAATTATTACACTCTAAGAAACAAATATATAAAATTTTTTAAAATAATTAAATTTTTTCCAAGAATTTTATTCAAATTTTTAAGAATAATAGCGTTTTTAGCGGAATTAATTAAAAATTGTATTAAAAAATTGAAATTCTGCGATGAGTTTTATTATTTATGAAAGTAATTGAATTCTTGCAACGATTATTATTAAAATTTTAAAAATAATTGCATTCTTGAGAAGAATTTTAAAAAAATCATTTTAAATAAATGATTTTTTCGAAAAATTTTATGAAAATTGTGTTTTAAATAATTAAATTTCTTTGAAAATTGTATATTATTTATGAAAATAATTGAATTCTTTCAAAAATTTTATTAAAATTATATTGAAAATAATTCAATTATTATAAAAAATTTCATTAAATTTTTTTTAAATAATTGAATTCCTGCAAAGAGTTTTATTAAAATTTTTAAGAATAGTTGCATTTTTCGCAGAATTCATTTAAAATTGTATTAAAAATAATTGAAATCCTGCGATGAGTTTTAATATTTATAAAAATAATTAAATTCTTGCAACGATTATTATTAAAACTTAAAAAAAAAATTGAATTCCTGAGAAGAATTTTATTATTTATAAAAATAATTGAATTCTTGCAAAGAATTTTATAAAAATCTATAGTGAAATTCAACTGAAAATAGTTAAATTTGCTAAAGAATTTCATTTAAAACTTTTTAACAAATCGAATTTTCAAAGTATTTTAATTTAATAATTAATAAATAATTGAATTTTATAAAGAGTCACATTCTAATGTATTTATGTTTCTTAGTGCGAAGATTCATAATTAAAATTTTTATTATTTAATTTAAAAAAAGATACACACTTAAAATTTTTTAATAAAATTAAATTTTTGCAAAGTTTTTTGGAAAATTCTAAAAATTAAGATTTTTGAAACTTTTCAATTCTGTTGTTTCAAGATAACTGAATTTTCATAAACAAATAATTGAAAAATTTTGACAATTGTAATTTCTTTACATTCTATTAAAAATAATGATTTTCTTTTAAAGAATATTTTATTTAAATTTTTCGAAAATAATCAAGGGAAGTTAGTCACCGTAATTATAATTTTATTTTCAAAAATTTCTTCGCAATATATTCAATTATTTTTATAAATAGTAAAACTCATTACAGAATTTCAATTATTTTCAATACAATTTTAATCAACTTCTTCGAAAAATGTAATTATTCTTAAAAATTTTACTAAAATTCGTCAAAAGAATTCAATTATTTCTAGAATCTGTAAAAACATTCTTCTCAAAAATTCAATTATTTCCATAAGTAGCAAAATTCTTTAGATTTACTAAATTCTTTTGAATATAATTTTTAAAAAATATTCTTCAAAAGAATTCAATTATTTTCATAAATTTCTATAAAATTCTAAAAAACAATTCAATTACTTTCAAAAATTTTAATAAAATTCTACGCAAACATTTAAATTATTTTCATAAGTAATAACATTCTTTTGAAGGATTTAATTACTTTTATAAATAGTAAAATTATTTGCAGAAATTCAATTAGTATGATAGGTTTTAATAAAATTGAATTAATCAAATTTTCAATTATAATTATGAACAGACAAGATTATTTTAAAAAATTGAAAAAATTCTTTGTTTAATTCAGATGAACGATGGTCCACTTTGTAGATGTAGCGAAAAATCAAGGAGATCAGGAATAAGACACGGAATTTATGCCGGCGAGGGCGTTATAAATAAATGCAATTTAGACACAAATAATGCGGATAAACTCTACCATTATCGTATCACAATCAGTCCACCGACAAATTTTCTCACAAAAACACCAACAATCATAAAGCACGATGAGCATGAATTTATTTTCGAAGGTTTCTCCATGCTTTCACATTTTCCACTCGTTAAATTGCCAACATGTAAAGTTATTCGTTTCAATATTGAATACACAATTCTCTACATTGATGAAAAATTACCCGAGAATTTCACCGTTCGTGAACTCGATTATTTCCGTAAGTCTTGAATTAATACAAAATAAAATTATTTTCTTTACAAAAAGTGAAGCACTTTTATTTTTTAAAATATTAAATTTAAATTTATAAAAAATTTTTAAATAATTGCTAAATTGTAGATATTTTAAGACAATTTTGTAAATATTTTTCTTTTGCAGATGAATATTTTTTCAAGGAAATTCTCGAGTTGATGGATTTTGATTTACAACCGGCGCAAGATAAAACGGGCTGTGGACAATTTCATTTTATGCCACGTTTCGTACGCGATTTGGCGGATAATGGACAGGAAATATTGTCAATGAATGAAGTTCTTAATTATTTGATAAAAAATAGTAAACCACTTATCGATGAAAAGGATCTTATTGAAACGGCTGAAATGCCACAGTATAAGTGGCAAAATTTTGCCGATGAAGTGAAGGGAATGGTTGTCACATATCCAGGAAAGAAGCCATGCAGCGTTCGTGTGGATCAATTGGATAGAAATCAAAATGAACAACCACCGGGTGTTGTCGCTTATCCGGAAATCGTTCACTTTGGTATTAGACCACCTCAACTTAGCTACGCCGGAAATGCCGAGTAACTATCAATTTATTTCAATTTTATTTTATTTATTCAGGGTTGTCACAAATATTTAATTTTATTTTTCCCTGACTTTTCCCTGATTTCCAGACAAAATTCTCACTTTTTCCCTGATCCTAAAAAATATTCTGATTCACTCTAAAAATTATTAGATACTCAAAAAAATGTTCTATTACATTTATTTACAAATTTCATATTAATTGTAAAATTATTCAAAAACATCAATAATTTCTTTTTTAAATAAATATTTAATCATTATTATTTTTCCGTGGGAATTAAAATTCTTCAATACATTCAAATTCAAACCTTTTTGAAATTCAACAATTTATAAGAATATTATTACAAAACATAAAGAAGTTCTTCTTCATATTTTCTTATAATTTGAATTACATACCATGAAATTTTTCAAAAAAAAAATTTTATTATTTAGAAAAATCCTAATAAAATCCTTCGCCAAAAATTCAATTATTTTTAAAAAGTAGTAACTTTTCTGAAAAAAATTCAATTATTTAAAAAAATTGTAATAAAATTCGTTGCAATAATTCAATTATTTTCATAAATAATAAATCGATTATTCAGCAATTCATTTTTTAATAAATTTTTATTAGAAAATTCTAGAAGAATTCAATTATTTAAATTAAAAAATAAATAATTTATTGAATAACTGAATGTTTGTTCAAATTGAATTCTCATAAAGAATTTTATCAACAAATTTTTAAATAATTGTACTCTTTTGACAAATTTTAATAAAATTTTTAAGAATAATTACATTTTTTAAAAAATTTGATTAAAATATTGTATTAAAAATTAATTAAAATCCTGCGATGAGTTTTATTATTCATGAAAATAATTAAGAAATTTTCCCAAAAATATTATTAAAATTTTTCTAAAATAATTGAATCTCGGTGAAGAATTTTATTATTTCTAAAAATAATTGAATTCTTGAAAAGAACTTTGTTAAATTTTTTTTTAAGTAATTAAATTCATGCGACGAATTTTATAAAAATCTTTTTCAATAATTGATATTTTTCGAAAAATTTTATGAAATTTTGTATATTAAATAATTGAACTCATGTGAAAATTTTATTATTTATGAAAAAAATTGAATTATTTCAAAGAAATTTATTAAAAATTTTATAAATTATTGAATTCCTGTCAAATTTTGACAAGAATTTTTATTCAAGTTTTTAAAAATAATTGAATTTTGAAGAAGAATTTTATTATTTATAACGATAATTTAAATTTTGACGAGAATTTTTAAAAAAATTTTTTTAAATAATTGAATGTTGAAGAATTTTATTATTTATAAAGATAATTGAAAGTTTGACAAGAATTTTTTTTTTAAATTTTTGAACATAATTGAATTTCTACGAAGAATTTTATTACTTTTGAAAATAATCTAATTCTTTAAACGAATTTTATTCAAGTTTATAAAAATAATTGAATTTCGGTGAAGAATTTTACTATTTCTAAAAATAATTGAATTCTTGAAAAGAACTTTGTTAAATTTTTTTTAAATAATTGAATTCCTGCGACGAATTTTATAAAACTCTTTTTAAATAAAACGGCGCCCTCGACCTCCACTCGTGTCACAAAAATCACCGTAAACAAATGGCTGCCTTTATACCCTTGTTGCTTAATATACTATTTATTTTTAATTATAAAATTTTACTAATTTAGAAATGAAATTTCACAGCTATCAAAAGGCCTGGCGAGATTACGTGAAATTCCGCCACTTACTGGCGAACATGCCGAAACCATCGTTTGAAGACAAGAGAAAATTAGAAGCAAAAGAGAATAAACTACAGGAATTGCGAACACAAAGTAAAATGAAACGCGACGTAACGGTTGATGTCTCCTCGGAGGGTTTCTATCGAACGGGAATTATGTGCGACATGGTGCAACATGGAATGTTGATACCGGTTCTCGTTTGTCATTTACGTTTTCACAAATCACTTGATAATCTAGAGAAAGCTCTTGTTTATAAATTTAAAAATCGCTACCTTCTACAACTCGCTCTCACGCATCCAAGTTATCGTGAGAATTTCGGCACAAATCCAGATCACGCACGTAATTCATTGACAAATTGCGGTATTCGTCAACCTGAATATGGAGATCGACGAATTCACTACATGAATACACGAAAACGTGGTATTAATACGCTAATTAATATAATGTCACGTTTTGGTGCAAAAAAAGAGACGGAATCATCGATTGCGCACAATGAGAGACTTGAATTTCTCGGCGATGCTGTCGTTGAATTTCTCACGTCAATACATCTTTTTCATATGTTCCCCGATCTTGAGGAGGGCGGTTTGGCGACATATCGCGCGGCAATTGTTCAAAATCAACATTTAGCTGTGCTGGCGAAGAAACTTAATTTAGATAAATTTATGCTCTACGCGCATGGAAGTGATTTGTGTCATGACTTGGAATTGAGACACGCAATGGCCAATTGCTTTGAAGCATTAATGGGGGCATTATTTCTCGATGGTGGTATTGAAATTGCTGATCGAGTTTTTGGCGAGACTTTATTTAAGGCCGAAAAGGAGGGAGGCGCTGACGATGAAGACACACTCACGCAAATTTGGGTCAATTATCCAAAACATCCTCTTCAGGAACAAGAACCGCTTGGTGATCGGCAATGGATCGAAAGATTTGAATTATTGCAGGTTATTCACAAATTTAGAAATATTTAATTTTTATTTATTTATTAACAGCTGAGTTGTCACTCACTTTTTAAAATAAAATTAGCAATTTTAAAAATAATAAAACGTAAAAATTTTTAATTCAAATTTTTTTTTATAAAAATAAAATATGAATTGGAATATATAGTTTAACAGAACATTTTTTTCAATAAAATTTTTTCCATTATTTTCTAAAAATTCAAAAATTTTCAGTTTCATTTTCAATTAAATTTTCTAATTAACAAATATAATTTATAAACATTTTTTTCCTTTATTTTTAAAAAACTTTGAATTTTATTAAAACAACATTTGAAATTAAGAAATAGAATTGATGCAAATTATTTTCTTATGAAAATTGTGAATTTTCTACAAAAATATTAAGAAACGGGAATATCTGATGTTTTTCTTTCCAAAAGAAAAAAATGAATTTGCAAACAATATTATTATTGAGAAATAAAAATTATGCGCATAAAATGGGTATATTTCCTACTTCTTAATCAAAATTTTGTAACAATTAACAATTTTCTAGTATTTTTTATAAATATATAAAGGAGAATAATTTGCATAATAATTTAGATCAGTCAAACGAAATTTGTTATAGAAAAAAGCATATAACAAACAAAATGGGTATATTTTTTATTTGTTAATAATTAATTTTTTTTTAAATTTTCTAATTTGTAATATTATTTTATTATCCTAAATCGTGAAAAAATACCTGCATATTTTCGATTTGTCATACAATATTTAAAAGAAAAAAAAACAAAAGCATATATAGAAACTAACTTCAAACTACGGACAGAATGGATGAAAGAATTCGGAGATTAATAATTATAGTTTTTTAATTTAATTTTTATTTTTAATTTAATTTTAATTCTAATTTAATATAGTTAATAATCAATAATTATATTACAAAATTAAATTTAAATAGGTAATAATGTCTAAATTCATATTTAATTCACTGAAATTTGAAAAAGTAATTAAATTTTTGGTTTTTTGCAGAAATTGACTCTATTTGAAGAATCAATCGGAGTTGATTTCAATCATATTCGACTTCTGGCGCGTGCATTCACCGATCGAAGTATTGGCTACACAAATTTGACACTTGGCTCTAATCAGCGATTAGAATTTCTAGGCGACACTGTTTTACAACTTATTGTTTCTGAATATCTGTATAAATATTTTCCAGAACATCACGAAGGTCATTTATCGGTAATTTCAACTTTTTCGACTATTGCATCAAAATAACATTTTTTTTTGTATAAAATTCAAGTTATTTCAACGTTCATAGTGTGAAAAATAATTATAGTCAAATTATAATAATAAAAATATTTTCAGTTACTGCGAAGTTCCCTTGTAAATAACAAAACGCAAGCGGTAGTGTGCGACGATTTAGGAATGACGCAGTACGCACTTTATGGAAATCCAAAAGCCGAATTGAAAACAAAAGATCGCGCCGATTTACTCGAGGCATTTTTAGGCGCTCTCTATGTCGACAAGGGTCTCGATTACTGTCAAGTATTTTGCGACGTCTGCTTTTTCCCTCGACTTCAAGATTTTATCATGAATCAGGATTGGAACGATCCTAAAAGTAAATTGCAACAATGCTGCTTGACTTTGAGAACAATGGATGGCGGAGAACCTGATATTCCTGTTTACAAGTAAAGAAAAACTCTTCTGAAAATTAAAACTTCCAACTCTTCGAATTTTTAATTAATTTTCAATTTTTTTTACAGAGTTATTGAGTGCAAAGGACCGACAAACACAAGAGTTTACACAGTCGCGGTCTACTTCAAGAAAAGACGATTGGCCAAAGCTTCCGGTCACAGTATCCAAGAGGCCGAGATGAATTCAGCGAAAAGAGCTCTCGAAAGTTCAGAAGGTATTTTTTCTGCTTGCTTTTCAATTTCAATTAATTGAAAATAAATTCATTTTTCGTAAAATTTTTGTAAGCATTTTGTGAACGATATTGTAAACAATTTTTCATTATTTGCAGAACTATTCCCGCAATTGGATCATCAGAAACGTGTGATTGCAAAGAGTATGAAACTCCAACAATGGTCGAGAAATAAATCACGCGGTGGAAAAATGACAAAACAAATTGAACGTTCAGATGATTCAGATTCGAGTCATCAACAACAAAAGAGAAGAAGTCGAAGTCGTGAAAATCGTTCCGAACGAAGATCACGAAATCGTTACGACAGTGCAGATCGACGAATGAAAAGTAGTACACGCACTTCAAGAAGTAAAAAACCAAGTTCAGAAAATTTAACACGAAGTCCAGGGAAATTGCGTAAAAGTCCCGAAAATACACATCGAAAAAAATCGGAACTCACAGAAAATTATTATGAAAGTACAAAAAGAAATTTGGAGAATTTAAGAAAAGCTCGTGAAATAAGTCCCGATAATTTACAATTAAATATTACAAATTCAAAAAGTCCTGAAGAAATGGCAAAAAAATTACGAAGCGATCATAGTTCTAGTCCAGATGGAAAACAATCGAATTTTTCCGATTCAACCGAAGATGATAATATTTATGACAACAAGGAGGAGAGGAGGAAAATTGTTAAAAAATGTATGAAAACGAAAAAACGAAAGAGAATCTCAGAGGATAGAGATTTTAGTAGTCAGGAAGAGTATAATATTCCCGAACAATATAGAAACAGTAATTTCTCCAAATATGAAAAAAGAACAAAGAGTTGAAAAATATTAACAATTAATGCATTTTCTCTAGTGCTTTTAACAAATATGGTATTAAAGAAATTATTTTCAAGGAATAGATGGAAAATTTCTCACATTTTTTTCCTTGAGAAGAAACTATTAATGAGTTACCGTTTAATATCCATAAGATTAAAGACTGAGTTTAGTAGTGATGGACTTTAATCTTTAAGAGAAGGTCTTTCTAAAACGAAGCAATGTGAGCAACGTTAAAAAATATGTATTTTTACCCCTTTTTTCTCTTAATTTTAGTATTATTACAGAACAGGTGCCTTCTTCCATTTTTCTAAACTATTTTCCTTTTATTATTATTTCTATTATCAAATATTTGAATTTCGTTGCTTCTAGTAAATAATTAACCCATTGCTATTCCTTTATTGATTTTCGAAATATTTCTTTCGATTTGTGAATTAAATGAAAAGAATTGCATTGAAAATTCTCACCTCAAAGGGTTAATTATGATTGAAAATTGATTTCATAGTATTATGGATGCTATTTCAATAACAGCAAAATTGTAAATTTGAAAATTTAAGTGTTGAGATATTTTTCTCTCACATTTAATTGTAAATAAAAATGTGCTTTTTAAAATTCATGTTTTTATTTTATCAATTATATTCTATTTTTTTGTTATAAATTCTAACTACATATTGTAAATTCTACATAAAATTTGTTTCTTTTTGAAAAAAGAAAACAAAATCACACTTTTAAGTCACTTTTTTTATTGAGGGGGGGAATAAATAAGAGCGACGATTGGGAATTAATTTGCTCTATTCTCCAATAGTAATTGACGTTCCTGACTCTCAATTAGAGACACATCTTCTTTTTGCAATAAACTCGGATGTGTTTGCCTTAATAAATGATCATTTTCGTCTAATATTTTGTTGCAACTTGCGAGACTTTTTACAATATTTGATAAATTCCAATTTTTCGATAATAAAGCATGATTTAAATTAAACAGTCCATATTGAAAACATTGAATTTGAGAGCAAGTTGCACTGGTACGAAGTTCCATTCCAAGTTCGTGAATTAAACTTTTTAAATACATTTCATTTTCATTAATGCTCACAATTTCTGAAAAGAAGAATAGTTTTTAATATTTTTTCTTAATTTTTCTTAATTGTAAATTTAAAAATTATATTTCTTACAAAATTAAAAATTAACGATTTATATTTATCATAAATTTAAAATTTTTACTATAAATTTAACTTTTGTAATTTTGATTATTATAAATTTTTAATTTATTATTTGTGTCAATTATAAGATTTTAAATTTATAATTTTCTTATTAAAAAAAAATCGTACCTAAGGTAAATTCTGGAGATTTGAAGTCCACACATTTTATGGAATAAATCATTGGAGTGTTATTATCCACAGGTCTAATTAGTCCTTTTACTGCCAATTCATAAGCAGCTTGACTTTGAATATCAACTCCGCAAAGTCTTGAAAATAAAAAATAATTGTAATATAGAAAAATTTTCAAAATTACTTTTAATAATTTTTCAAAAAGTTCTTTAAGAATTTTCAAATTCTTTTGTTTACAATTTAATTTTACGAAATTTTGAATAATCTAACATTCTTCAATTAAATATGTTAGGAAATAAAAACTTTGAATAATTTTAAAAAAAAATTCAATTAAACTTTTTTAAAAAACTTAATTCCATATAGAATTGTTAGTTTTAAAAGATTTTAATTGAAACCTTTTGAAAATTCAATTATTTCTAAAAATCCACGCTATAATGCTTACAATATTCAATTATAATCTAAAATTTTAACTGAAATTCATTTTTAAATCAATATTTATTAGAAAATTCAACGAGAATTCAATTATTTAATTACAAAAATAAATATTTTATTAAATAATTGAATGTTTCTTAAAATTGAATTTTGACAAATTTTTGATATTAATTAAATTTCTACGAAGAATTTTATTTAAAATATTTTTAAAAAATTGAATTGTTACAAAGAATTGCATTTAAATTTTTGAAAATAATTTAATTCTTTGAAAAAATTTTATGAAAAATGTATTGAAAATAATACATAAATTGTGATAAATAAATTGTAGCAAAAGCTTTTAAAATAATTGAATTTCTTTGCTGAATTTTAATAAAAATTTTAAGAATAATTACATTTTTCGAGGAATTCCATTAAAATTGTATTAAAAATAATTTAAAGTCTGCGATGAGTGTTATTATGTATTTATGAAAATAATTGAATTATTAAGAAGAAATTTATAAAAAATTTGTAAAGATTTAAATTCCTGGGAAATTTTTATTATTTATGAAAATAATAAAATGTTTCTTTTGGGAATTTTTATTAAAGTAGTAGATATTGAAAAGTCATTGAATTGAGGAAAGTTTTTTAAAATAATTAAAATTTTGACAAGAATTTTATTAGAATTTTGGAAAATAATTGAATTTCTGAGAAGAATTTTACTACTTTTTAAAATAATTGAATTTCTTCAATCATTTGTAATTTTTCTTCAAAATTCAATTTGTTTTAGTGTTTTTAACTAAAGTTCTTCTATAAATCCATAAATTTTAATAATCAAATATACCTATACTTATATTAAAAAATTTAACTAATTTCAGAAGAATTTTAGTTATTAAAATTTTTTTAAATCTAGAATTTTTAAAATTTCTATAATTAAATTCGTTTAAAATTGAAATTTTACAAAATTTCAAATCAAAACCTTTTGAAGTTCATCTACTTATGAAAATTGTAAACGCAACTCTTTTAAAATTGAATTAATTTTAAAATATTTAAGTAAAATTAGATTTCAAGAATAAACACAATAACTTTAGAAAACAACAATTTTCCAGGATTTCGATCAAAATTCCCTGACATTTCCAGATTGCGTGGCAACCCTGTTGAGTTAATTTAACTAATGAAATATTTATTTTAGTTAATGAATTTAATAAATTTTTTAAATAAAAAGAAATTATGACTCACTCAAACATTTTCTTCTGATGTGACGATTGCATTGCAGCACAAACGCGATCAATGTGAGATCTTCGGAGAAATTTGCAATAGGATTTTTCAACTATTCGTCCTGTTATAAAGAAATCATCGGTCGCTTGACCTAAAATTCCCTTCACTCGATATGATCTTGTAGAATTTGAATTTCTCAATTGAAAAGCGAGTTTAGTGCCATTATTCAATCCACAAACAACAACTCCAGAAGTGTGATGTTGTAAATGATTCGCGTAATTTATTTTAATATCGCCCACTTGATATCGTGGACCAACAACAAGAATATCGTCTGCATAACTTGATCTTACTGATACTGACAATTGTTTATTAGTTTCACCCTCTATTAAAACGTATGGATTCGGTGGACGAACTTTCATTTTATTTAAATCTAAAAAGGAGAATTAAAATATAATTACAATTTCGAATTGTAAAATTAAACTCACTTTTCTATATGTTTAATTATATTAACATTATTTGTTATATAGTTTTAAGTCTTAGTTTTGATATATTATTTCAAATAATATGTATGTAAATATTAAAGTGTTTGAATCGTTTCAATATTTCAAATATTTTAAAAATATTCAAAATATTATCAGTAATTAATAAAAATGTTAATACATTTATTTTAATAATTGAGCAATAAATAAATAACAATAATAATAATAATTTTGATTAATAATTTTGTAATATTTATCACTGACCTGCACACAAGTTTTGACTAATTGTTTGTCTTGACACTAACAATGGAATATTTGCCGGTTTATAAATAACGAAAAGTCCATTTAACATTTTCCATACTACCCTTGCGTCATTTGTGTATTTACACATTTTAATTCTATATTAATTACAAAATTAAATAATTAAGGATTAGAAGGACATATACTAGGATTATACCCTATTTTTGACTGTTTTTGACAGAAAAACCTAACCTAAAAATATACAACAAAAACCAAAAGGCGCATTTACATGTAACTCTTGCTCATTGGCCTGTTTAGTCCCCGCTCAAATTTAAAAGTGACCAATGAGCGCACTAATTTTTATGAAGGCGGAGTAGAAGATCAAACCCACCTAACCTAAAATCTGCTGTTTACTACAAGTTCGCTATTTCGGCGCCAACGGAAGTTGTTGTCCTTTATTATCGTAAAAATAACACTTTTATTGTTGAAAAAAAGTGAGAAAACTAAGTTTATATGACGTGAATAAAGTACATCATGTTCGTTACCGATCTTCCGAATGATTTTTACAAAGTAGTACGAGGAAATGTAAGTAATAGTACTCGAATTTTTGGTGTTTTTCAAGAGGGTGTTTGGCTAGGTTAAGTATAACGGTTATTGACATCATCCCTTTAACTATTCCTAAAGGGATGAGAAATTCTTAATTATAAATTATAATCATCTGCATTGTTTAGTTATAATTACTAAATTCTATTTTACTGAAACTTATGTCTACAATTTCATAAAATCGTCAATAGTATTCTGCTTTAAAACTTCTTTTTATCGCAAATCTCATGAGGTGAGAAAGGTCATAAACTAATGCTAATGAAATGTTTTCTTTAAATTTTTAATTCTGACATTAAATCGGAAGAAAAGTTTTAATTTAAACACTGCTTTTAAATAGAATTGAATGCTAGATTAGTATTTGGTTGTAAAATAAAGTTTGCAACTAATAAACTTCCTTTTATTGGAAATCGATTTCAGTGTTGGTATTAATTTTCCATTGATTGAAATGATTAAAGTTGAATAATTTGATTAGAGTAATTATTAATTACTTAATTATAATTAAATCATTAATTATTTAAATTAGAAATTTGCGAGATTTTCGTTCCAGTAAATTTGTATTTGCAAATAAATATTTTCAGCTCTTGAAATTTGTATATTATAAAAGAATTTCACTATTTATTTTATTATATTTATTTCAGCGGTGCCTCCTTTTAGTGAACTTTGACGTGGATGCAATTTGCGCTTCTAGAATTTTGCAATCTCTCTTTAAAAATGATAATGCAGTGTATACTTTGGTCCCAGTGCAAGGAGTTGATGATTTGGTGCAGGCCTATGCGGAAAACTGGGAAGAGGTATTTACAAAACAAATTTTTTATTACGAAAAATTAAAACTATAAAAATATACATAAATATTTGAAATGATTTAGTTTCTTTATTCAAAAAGAAGTGAGTGAAATTGTATATTTGAAATTTTATAATTATAAACAAAATTTTTATCTTTGAGAAGATTTTTTAGATTTGTGACACTAAAAGCTACTTTTTTCTTTTTTTTAAATTTATACTGCTTTAAATAATAAATAATAAATAATTCAATTATTTTACATATCTACGATTATTTAATAAAATTCCCCAAAAGAATTGAATTATTTAAAAGAATCTTAATAAAATTCTTTATTTATTTATTTATCATACATTTCTTCGTAAACATTCAATTATTTTCATAAATATGTAATAAAATTTTTACACGAATTCATTTATGTATTTAAAATATTATTATTTTCAATAAAATTTTAATTAAATTCGTCGAAAAAAATTTGTAAGAATTCAATTATTCAAATAAATAATAAAATTCTTCGCTGGATTCAATTATTTTGAATAAAGTTTTAATAAACTTCTTTGCAGAAATTTAATTATTTTTATTTTTATAGATAATAAAATAGATATTATTATTATTATTATTATTATTATTATTATTATTATTATTATTATTATTAATAAATTAGATAATTTTCTAAATAAATCAGTTAAAATGACTAAAATATGAGTAATTTTTCACTGATTGAACAATTAAAAAATTATTGGAAATTTCTCTTTCCAGCATTTAAGAATATCAGTTATTTTTTAACTTTCAAATCAGTAAAAAATGACAAATATTACAATTATTTTTAACTGATCTTAAATGAAATTTCACTGATTAAAATCGCGAGAATAGAGTCACTGAAAATCAGACAAATTTCACTGATTTAGTTTTAAAGAGTTGTGTTTTTGAATCAATTTATATTATTGACAATAAATTTTATTTAACAATACATATTACATATATGAAAATGATGTTCTGCAAACAGTGAAATTGTGATTTACAACCGGGAAAAATAGCTAATCAAATTTATGTGACAAGAAATTAAAAATGCGTTAGGAACATTTTAAAGGAATGGTTATAATGTAATTTTAATTGATTTTTAATTTAAAAACTGTACCATTGGTCCCTTTCAATGTGAAAAATTTGTGGGCGGTAACGCCACCGTCGCGCCCCTATACTTGACCCTTCCTATGGGTTAATTTTTGACCTGAATGACATTTTGTCACTCTTATTTTTGCTACTTTTCTGAATGTACTGAACATATCACAGAAGCTGTTTACCTTTTCCAGAAAAGGCTAATTACATGGCTTAAAACAAAGAATAGTTCAGATGAATTAAACAAAATTTATTATTTCTCCGAGGGTGCAGCATCGCAGTAAAAAAATAAAAAAAATAGTTTTCAATAGTTTTCGAAATAAAAATTCTCAAAAAAAAGTCATTTTTTTCAGTTTCCAATTTTTCAAATCTAAATATATTGCGAAAAAAATTTTTTTTTGCAAAACTGTTTGGCACAGTTATTTAGTACCCCAAGTACTACAAGATTACAAACTTTAAGAAAAATCAGTGATCCACCAATTGCTTTTCGTATGGAACTGCCCTACTGTTTACTACTTTAAAAAAAAAAAAAATAATTAAAAAAATATTTAAAAAAATTTAAATTTAAATTTAAAATTATAAAAATTAATTATTGAGTGCAAAGCCTGAAAATATAATAATTCCTTTTGAATATTTTTCTGATCCTCACGGAGTGAAATTATATTTTACACATTTGGAATTAATTCGATCTTCATTTTCATTTTAGACGACTTATGTAATTTTAATTAATTGTGGAGGATGCGTGGATATAACGCAACTATTGCAACCAGATGAGCGTATAATATTTTTTATAATCGACAGTCACAGACCTTATGACACGGATAATATTTATTCGGAGAGTCAAATTAGAATACTTGGTAATCCAGAGGCTGAAGAGTCAATTCCTGAATACAATGATATTTATAGGGATGATGTGAGTCTTGAAGACAATTTTTAACATTTTTCTTTTTTTTGTTTCTAATTTATATTATTGGTAATTAAAAGAAAAAATTTCGATAATAATTGGAATTTTTTGTCATTTAGTCTGATGAAGAGGATTTAGTTCCAACTGATGATGAGGAAGGAGGCGATGAAGAAGATGGAGCCGTTGAATCAAATCAAGCTAAACGAAGACGACTGAATGAGGAGATAATATTAAAAAGAAGGGAAATGAGAAAATGGGAGGAAAATCGAGAAACGATTTTGTTTAATTATAAACAATACAGCTATTTCAGCAAATCCGTGAGTTATAATTTTTGAAATAATTGTTATATTTTGAAAAGAAATTAAGAATAAAATTTCCTCTAATTTCTATTTCTACTTGTTTTTCTAATTCATTATTCAAATTTTTCTTTTATTTGTTATTCTGTTAACTTATTTTATTTTCTATTTTTCTATTCAAATGTTAACTTATTTGTTAAAAATTTGTTATTTCTATTTTTTTCCAACATATTAAAAATCTATTGGCGATTTTTTTTTTGCAGAGTGCGGTGCAAATTTTCGAAATGACATGGAAAATGTCAAGAGACACTTTGGATATGGCGTGGTGGGCAATAATTGGAGCCACAGAACAATCTATTCTTAATAAAATTGAAAATCAGAACAGCATTTTAGAGGCAGCTAATTTACAAGGACATGTTTCAAGACTGAGTCACATACGAGGAGTCAATGGAGATAGATTGCAGCAAAGTGCAATAAGAGTCACATACGACAATGAGTATCCTTTCGAATAATGAAAAATTGTGGAGATAACTTTTATACTTTTCAAATTAAGAAACTTTTTTAATTCTAAATAAAATTTTTGTTGGCAATAGTAATTATAAATTTTCCTTAATGATGCGCTTTTAGTCTTCAATTGGCACTTTATAGACACTGGACTGTAGAGGCGAGCTTAAGACATTCAATGACAACGGCCGTTTCGCTACGTCTTTGGTCCATTAAAGGTGAACAGCGTCTCAAGGAATTATTGGCCGAAATGGGTTTACCTCTGGCACAATCAAAGCAACAATTCTCAACCATGGATCTCAATCTTCGTCAGGAATTTAAAGAAATGGTTGAAAAAATATCGGCGAAATATAATATGGACAATGTAAGGGGTACCAGTTTTACTCTTCAATATGGATACAGATTTAAATATTGTGCATCGGACGTCGTTTACGCTATGCTGGCATTGCTCGAGTCAACTGTAAGTCTTTAAATTAAAAATTACTTTTAAATTAGTTTTTAAAAAAGAAACAAGGGTTGACATGCAACCTAGAAAACCTGGAATTGTCAGGAAATTTTATAAACCTTGAAAAAACCTGGAAAAGTCGGGGAATTTTGATCGAAATCCTGGAAAATTGTTGTTTTCTAAAGTTATTGTGTTTATTCTTGAAATCTAATTTTACTTCAATATTTCAAAATTAATTCAATTTTAAAAGAATTGCGATTACAATTTTCATACAGTACCGTCCGCAATTGTCAGTCCACCCATTTTTAAAGGAATGACAAAAATTTTTTAACATAAAATTCATGAAAACTAAAATTTTTTTTGGTTTATATTTTGAAAGACGATAAAATTTTGAAAAGAATAAGACCTTACAGAAGTCATTTGGCCAAAATTTGTAGAAGATATTCCTAAAAATCGTCATTTTCAATGTTTTACAAAAATTTAAATAACTTCTAAAATAATGAACGCTTTTTAATAATCTTAGGCTTATTTTAAAGGTCTTTTTCTACGGAATAAGAATTACTTATAGGCATTAACCTGTCATTTTTAACTTGGAATAAGCATGACGTCAAAATTAGACAAAAAAATTGGAAAAATTTGAAATCAATTTTTTGTACTAAAAACTATTCTAGAACATATATAAAACATGATATGGTGTAGATTTTTCAAGAAAATTTAATAAAAATATATGTTTGAGTTTCAAAAATTATTTTTCTTTTAATAATATTATTTCAAATTTTTTGAATTTTTTTGTCCAACTTTGACGTCATGCTTACTCCAAGTTAAAAATTACAGGTTAATGCCTATAAGTAATTCTTATTCTGTAGAAAATGGTCTTTAAAATAAGCCTAAGATTATTAAAAAGCGTTCATTATTTTAGAAGTTATTCAAATTTTTGTAAAACATTGAAAATGACGATTTTTAAGAATATCTTCTACAAATTTTGGCCAAATGACTTCTGTAAGGTCTTATTCTTTTTAAAATTTTATCGTCTTTCAAAATAAAAAACAAAAAAAATTTTACTTTTTATGAATTTTATGTTAAAAAATTTTTGTCATTCCTTTGAAAATGGGTGGACTGACAATTTCGGACGGTACTGTAAGTAGATGAACTTCAAAAGATTTTGATTTCAAATTTTGTAAAATTTCAATTTTAAATGAATTTAATTATAAATATTAAAAAAAAAACATAGATTTAAAAAAAAATTTTAAACTAAAATTCTTCTAAAATTAGTTAAATACTTCAATATATATTTAATTGATTATTAAAAATAATGGTTTTATAGAAGAATCTTAGTTAAGAACACTAAAACAAATTGAATTTTGAAGCAATTATAAATGATTGCAGAAATTCAATTATTTTTAAAAGTAGTAAAATTCTTCTCAGAAATTCAATTATTTTCAAAAAATTCTAGGCAAAATTTTAATTATTTTCAAAAACTTTTCTCAATTCAATGATTTTTAATATCTACTACTTTTATCAAAATTCCAAAACAAATTTAATTAGTTAAAAAAATTTAAATTTTATTAAGTATTATTTTAATTGTTCTCATAAATAATAAAAATTTCACAGGAATTCAATTATTTACAAATTATTTTCAAATATTATTCAATTATTTTCGTAAATAATAAAATTCAATGCTGAATTTCAATTATTTTTAATACAATTTTAATGGAATTCCTTGAAAAATGTAATTATTCTTAAAAATTTTATTAAAATTTATCAAAGAAATTCAATTATTTTAAAAACCTTTGCTAAAATTTATTTATTAGAATTTAAGTATTATTTTCAATACATTTTTAATAATTTTAATAAAATTCTTCCCAGAAGTCCAATTATGTTTAAAAATTTACAAAAATTCTCGTCAAAATTTCAATTATCTTTATAAATAATAAAATTTTTCTGCGAAATTCAATTATTTTCAAAACTTTTAATAAAATTCTTGGCAGAATTTCAATTATTTTTAATACTATTTTCATCAAATTTCTCGAAAAATGCAATTATTCTTAAAAATTTTATTAAAATTCAGCAATGAAATTCAATTATTTTAAACACTTTGCTACAATTCATTTATTACAATTTAAGTATTATTTTCAATACATTTTTAATTAAATTTCTTTAAAGAATTAAATTATTTTCAAAAATTTTTATGAAATTCTTTGTAACAATTCAATTTTTTCAAAATATTTTAAATAAAATTCTTAGTAGAAATTTAATTAATATAAAAAATTTATCAATATTCAATTATTTTCAATTTCTACTATTTCAATAAAATTTCACAAAATAATTCAATTATATAAAAAGAAATTTTAATAAAATTTGTCTCAAGAATTCAATTATTTTCAAAAGTAATATAATTCTTCGCCAAAATCCAATGATGTTAAAAAATTTACAAAAATTTTTGTCAAAATTTCAATTAACTTAATAAATAATAAAATTTTTCTCCGAAATTCAATTATTTTCAAAACTTTTAATAAAATTCTTGGCAGAATTTCAATTATTTTTAATACCTACAATTTTCATCAAATTTCTCGAAAAATACAATTTTCTTAAAAATTTTAATCAAATTTGTCAAGAGAATTCAATTATTTGAAAATTTGTTGATAAAATTCTTTATGAAAATTCAATTTTAAGAAACATTCAATCGCTTAATAAAATATTTATTTTTATAGTTAAATAATTGAATTCTCGTAGAATTTTGTAATAAATATTGATTTAAAAATGAATTTCAAATTAAAATCTTTGAATATTTGAACTTTTCATACTTTTAATTAAGAATTCTATAGAATTAATTTTTCTCAATAAGTTTAATGGAATTTTTTTAATTATTTGAAGTTTTTAATTTCTAATAATATTTAATTGAAGAATGTCAGAATAATCGAAATTTCGTAAAATTAAATTGTAAACAAAAGAATTTGAAAATTCACAAAGATTTTTTTTTTTAAATTATTTTTAAAAAATTGACTTAAAGAAGAATTTTAGTTGAAAATTTTAATTTTTATTTATAAAAATTTTTTTATGTTATTAAATTTCAAATTATATGTTAATTTCTAAAAAAAAAATTTCAAATTTTTTTATAAACTTCTTAGCAGAATTTCAATTATTTTTAATACAATTTTCATCAACATTCAATTGTTTAATAAAATATTTATTTTTAGGCTGCGTCTACAATAGAAAACAATAATGTGTAATTTGTAGTGTAATGTGTATTGTTTTTGGCATTGACAACTGTCAGGGGCAATTACACTATATATTACACAATTTTCTACACATTATTTTTTCTGTTGTAGACGCAGCCTTATAGTTAAATAATTGTTTTATTGTTTATAATTGTTTTATAGTTAAATAATTAATTCAATTATTTACCAATTTTTTTTAAAGATTTCTTCTAAATAATTCAATTATTTTCATAAATAATAAAATTTTTACAGGGATTCAATGCTGAATTTCAATTATTTTTAATACAATTTTAATGTAATTCCTCGAAAAGTGTATTGTTTAAAAAATTTTTATTAAAATTCGTCGAAAGAATTCAATTATTTAAAAATTTATTGATAAAATTATTTAAATGAGAGTTCAACTTTAAAAAACATTTAATTCTTCAATAAATTATTTATTTTTGTATTTGAATAATTAAATTCTCGTCGAATTTTCTTATAAAAAATTGATTTGAACGATTTGAATATGAATTTGAGTTAACATTTTAGATAATAATTGAATGTTAAATTCTCTAAATTTGAATTAGTAAAAATGTTTTCTAATTTGAATTAGTGACTGACTTTATGCTTTTGAATTAGCAGATTTTACCAATAAATAGTCGTTTCTACTAATTTAATAGTAAAATTTACTAATTCAAAAGCAAAAAGTCAGTCACTAATTCCACTTAGTAAACATTTTTACTAATTCAAATTTATAGAGAAAGTATTAAAGCGTGAATTTTGAGAAATAATTGAATTTTGAAAAGGTTTCAAATTATAATCTTTAAATGTTTGAATTTTTTATACTTTTAACTGAAAATTGTGTAGATTTAATTCTTTTGAAAAAGTTTAAGTAAATTTTTTTTAAGTTATTTGAAGTTTTTATTTTCTAATATATATTTGATTGAAGAATTTCCTAATAATCGATGAAATTTCGTAAAATTAAATTATAAACAAAAGAATTTGAAAATTTTCAAAGAAATTTAGGGAAACAAATTTTCAATAAATTAGTGATAGTTTAATAAAAATTGTTTTTTTTTTTTTGGTATAGGGAAAAAATAGATCGCCACAACATTGTTTTATGGACGCCTCCGATTGTATTTCAAGATTGAAGAAAGATGTACTGGCGAGAGGAATTGAGAAGGCGAAGGAGATGCTGTGTAATATTTACAAAACAGCGCAGGGTGTTTTGGAAATGAAACAAGTGATGAATGCAGGAAGATTTCTTTATGTTGTACTTCCTGGTGGAAATCTTGATAGTCATTTGTTTTCGCATCCTCACGCTCTTATGATGCTCGCGCAATTTGTTTTGCAGGCATATGTTGAAAGTTCGAGAAGTCGACGGGCCCTTGGCTTGCCATTAGTTGCATCTGCTACATATAACACTGAAACAAATATGTGTCTTCTCATTGGGATACCACCAGTTTGCGAGGATCAACCCAGAAGGTATTTTCAATTTAAAATATTAATGCAAATAAAAGAAAAAAAAATTAAAATAATAAAAGAAATAAAATTTTTATTTCCTTTTCTCGGAAAAAGTAATTTTTTTTCTATTTTCAGTTTATTTGGTCTCGCATTCAAAGGAGCGGCAGAAAACACGAATTCGTACCTTGAAGATGATTATTTCGATACTACAAGTAAGTTCTTTTCTTTCATTTCGTTGATAAAAGCAAAAAGTCGATATTTTAGAATTTTATTTAAAATATTTCTCATTTTAGAATTTCATTTGAAATCTTTATTTTAGAATTTTCAGGCCTCGGATATTATGACTTACTAGACTTTTTTCGACTATTTTCAAAATTAAATTTTTGAAATATACAATTAAAAAGATTTTAAATAATTAAAATTTCGTCAAATTTAATTAAAAATAAATCATTTTTTTCAAGTATTATTACAATTTTTGAAAATTAACTTTTAAAGACTTTTAATTGAAAATTTTGGCAATAATTGAATTCTTAAATATTTTAATAAATAATCTTAAAGTGTAAATTCAATAAAAATGAAAATTCATAAAAATTAGGTTCTAAAAATAATATAAAAAAAGTTTTGAAAAAAGTAATTCTCTGAATTATTTCGTTCTAATTTTTTAAAATTCAATTATCTTCAATATTTCCGAAAATTCAAATACATACACAAAATAATAACATTAAAATTTTTTAGAATTACTTTTAACACTAGCAAATAATACACGCGCGGAACGCGGTATTCCATTTATTATTATTTTGTAAATTAAAAAATTTTATATTTTAAAAAATAAACATCAATTATTATTTTTATTAATTGTAAAATTCTTTTCAAGAATTCAATTATTTTTGTAAATAATAAAATTCTTCAATTCAATTATTTTCAATACAATTTTTAAAAAATTTCTACAAAAAAATTCAGTTATATTCAAGATAATTTTAATAAAATTTCTCTAACAGATTCAATCATCTTAAAAAAATTGTAATAAAATTTTTCTAAAGAATTCAATTGTTTTCAAAAGTTTTTAATAAAATTCTTTGTTTTCAATTATATTTAAAAATTTCAATTAAAATTATTTTAAAAAATTACATTATTCTTACGAAATTTAATTAAATTCTTTTAAAAAAATGTAATTATTTACAAAAACTCTAATAAAATTGTTTAAAGGAATTTAATTTTCTGTGAATAGTTTTAATATAAATTAATAGGAAAATTATTAATTATTTTAAAAACTTAAAAGAAAATCTTCATAAAATTCAATTACTTTTATATTTTTCAGTAAAAATTATTTTAAAAAACTTCATTATTTTCAAGAAAATTCAAATAATTTCTTCAAAACAATTCAATTATTTTTAAGAATTAAATTACTTTCAATACAATTTCAATTTCTATTTCAAATTCTATTATTTAAAATAATTGTTGATAAAATTCTTGAAATCGATTCAATTATTTTCAAATTTTTTGATAAATACTTTGCAAGAATTTAATGATTTTCAGTACATTAATTTTAAAATTGAAAACATTTAAAAAGTTCCGAAACAAAAAAGAAAACTGTGAACTTATTACCGGAACACAACGATTATTAATATACATTTTGGAGAAAGTAATCATATTCAAAATTCTTCAATTATTTTCGAAAAATCACAGTACAATATTTATAAAAAATTAATTCTTAGAATTGTTGTATTATAATTTTTAAGATTCAATTACCTTCGAACAAAGTAAATTAAAATTTTTAAAAATTTACTTTTTCAGAATTTTGAAGAAATCATTTATAATTAAAATTCTTCAAAAATTTGGTTAGTTTTTAAAAATTCTTTTAAACTCAATTATTTTTCAAAGATTTTATCAAATTTCAATTATTTTTCAAAGATTTTATTAAATTTAAATTATTTTTTGAGAGATTTTACCAAAATTCAATTTTTTGGACATTTTTTAATTGTATGTAATTGTAAAACTTTTGTCTTGAGAAATTATTTAGAAATATTTTTAAAAAGTTAATTTTAGAAATTTCTTTATTAAATTTTTTGAAAATATTCTACCTTAATATTTTTAAAAAGAAAAAAGGACGGTTTCAATATTATAAAAAAATTGAATTTTTGTATTTAAATAATTGAATTCTCGAAGAACTTTCGGGAAATTATTAAAAATTAATATATAGATAATTGATTTAGAGATGAAGTTTAGTTCAAAATTGTAGAAAATAATTGAATTTTTGGATGGGTTGTAGTTTTAATTTTTAGAAGTTATTCAATTTCAGAAGTTAAAATTTTTTTATTTTTTTTTTCTGTGAAAAAAGAAATAAGAAGTATTTACATATTTATTTATCAAAATTATACAAGTTTTGATTAATTGAATTTAGAAATCAATGGAGAATCAGGGAAATACAAAATAAAATTTTTGTGACAACACTTAATTAAACGACTTTTTCGACTTTATTCTATTTTTAATCGACTAAAGCGACTTTTTTTGCTTATTAAAGTCGATCCAAGGCCTGAATTTTATTTTTTATTTGTATTATTTAAGTATTTTTTAATTATAAGAGAAGATTTTGAATGCTGGTATTTTTTACAGTTGTAAGACTGAAGATTGAACACCGGCCGAAGTTTTTCGACGCTCTGGCAGCGTTGCTCACGTGATAAATAAGTTTTCCTTTTAAGATAAAATAGAGAAGTGTAAGACTTAGCGCCGATTTGTACATACGATACATTTACCTAGGTGTAACTTCTATTTTTGTTAATAACTTATGTGACCGAAAGTGCGTTAATTTTAAAGACACAATTTAGATATTTAATTTCATGTGTCAACGGTTGCATTGACGAATTTTTTTCTCTTAAATTTTCTTTTGTTTTACAATTATAGTGCTCGTAACTTTAAATATTGTCAATGAGACACAAGACTTGTGAAAGAAATTAATTATTGAATTTTACTCAAGGGAAAGAAAATTTTAGTCTTTCTAAAATCATATTTAATAGAAATAAATTTAAAATTCTAAAGTTGTAGGTTGTACTTTAGATTTCTTATTGTAAACTTTACTAAAAATTTTTTTTTTTTGTTTTAACAAAACTTATTTAACTTTTTTCCCGAAATCGTAAAATTTGATTAATCTCTCTCATATTAGAAACATGTAAATATAATTTTTAATGTTTTAAAACCGTCGACGCACTGAGGTTATATGTATATATAGTATAGTTTCCTTTTTTTTTGCAAAAAAAAAGACCTAAAACTAGAATTGGCTAATTAGCATCATAGTTTCCTTTTTATCGAAAATGAAACTAAAAAAACTTATTCATAACAGAGAGAAAAGGTCTTGTGAACTAAAATTATCAGAATAATATTAATATGAAAATTTTGATTTTAACTCTCGTAACGTTCGAATTTTAATTTCTTTTTACAACTCGAAAGAACTTTGACACACGAATGCAAGTCACATAAGAATTAAATTAATTTCGATAATTGCCAATTCTGCCGAGCAGAAAATTTGTTTAGGAAAAAAAAATGTATTTGCGATTATTTCGACGAGAAATTTTTTATATAACGTGACCATTATTTGTAACGAGAAAGAATTTTTTTGACAAACCAAAAAAAAAAAAAATTCTTTTCGAGAACTCCGAAAAACATTATAACTGTAAATAAGTCGAATTAATTTAGTATTAAAATTTAATTTAATTCAGTTCAATAATAATTTTTTGTGAAACAGTAAAACTTGGACAATATAGACAAATTCTGCCATGAATATTGCGAAATCTTTTCAATCTTTTCTAATAATTTTCATCAGGATTTTTTAATTAATTTTCGTTTTTTGCGTTTCTACTCAACATTAATTTATTAAATATTGTTACTATATATATGTTACATGAATGATTAATTATAAAAAAAAAAGATTTTTCGAATCATTTTTTTTATACACGTTTTACAGCGCACATTCAATAATTTCATCACACTTTTTTTTGAGTTCTAGGAAAGGAAAAAAGAGTTTATACTCTTTTTTTTTTCTTTGTGTTGCATTATTTAGTTTGATATTTGTTCGGAACGAGTGGATTTGCGTACGGCGGCAATTTTATTTGTGGGAAGTTTATTATTGCGGTAGCGATCGACAAATTGTTGGACAGAGTCGACAGTGATTTCAGCTCCGTCTTCCATGACGGCGTAAACTCCTCGTGGAATGTCGATTGCCGTGAGCAACGGCACCGCATCATCTAAACCGACAAACTCCCGAAGAATGTCCGATGTTTCGCACTGAAAAATTAAATAATTTTTTTTTTGTTAATCAAAGTTTTAAACAATGAATTTAGAGAAATTGAAATTTAATACTTTTTTTGTTGTCTTTCATTTAATTTAATAATTAACGGTAATTATTAGTTTTTTAATTATAAATTTTCTTTTTTTATTCTCTAAAATTGTAATGTAATAAATAATTCAGTAATTATTTGTCAGAAATTTAACAACTGTCTCCGGTTATTGAATTAATTATTTTGGTAAATTATAATTGTATAGTAATAATTAATTTAACGAGCACAATTTGAGAAATTAATTTAATTGGACAATTTTCTTGAATTGACGTTAAATTATTTATTCGTAATCCGTGAAATATTATCTATTAATTTGTTCGAATGTAAAATTCCGTACGAAAATTCGGATATTAACACAATTTTTGTAAAAAAAAGAATTTAATTAGCCACTTCCGGACAATGGGTATTTTGATCAATACATTCAGAAGGAATTCCAGAGATAATTAGCGTCTGCTAATCAATATGAATTGAATTGATATTCAGGTAATTGGAGATTTGCCACGAAGTTGTCAAGCACCACAGGTATTATTATTAAAATTTATTATTCTAATTAATTTCGATTGTGACATTAATTAACTGTGTTAAAGATTTTTCCAAGTTATTTCCGTAAATTGTGTTTCTTTAATGATTTTCTAATTTTAATGAAACGAATTTATTTTCTTGTTTTCAGATTTTTTATTCTTGTCAGCTGAGGAGAATTTGTAGCTATTTTTTCTTAAGAATAAATTTTCATGTGGAACTTGTAGAAAAATTTACTCACGTCCAGTGCGATAAAAAATTGAAGCATATCGTCCAAATCATCGAAATTCGGATCGTAATCCGGTCTGTCTCTCCTGTAGGCATCTGCGGCCGGTAGTAAAACTGTTTCTCCAAAATGTATTTCACAGTCGTCACCCTCTGAAAGATGAAAAATATTTTATTCGAAATTGGAAGAAAAATGTACCTCGAAAATTTTGGTAAGAGAAGTTTTTTTTATTAGAATTTTTACTTTTAAATAAAATAAAATAAATTAAATTAAATCAATTAAATTATGTAAATTAAATAAATTGATTTAAATACAAATGAATTAAACAAATTAAAATTAAAATCGCTTTGTAAAATAATTAGAATGTGTATTCTTTGATTCAGCTTACCAACAAAGAGAATAATGGCCGGTGCATCGTGCAATGAAGTTGCATACTTTTCCGTTAAAATATTCACTAAACGGCTCGTCCATGGGAAATTCTGAAATTTATGTTAATTTTATTCAAGGAAACTCTTTTCAATAAGATGAGAAATGAGAAAGAACAAATTTGAATAAATCCAACAAGCCAATCAAAAGTATTGCCCATCGAATTGGAAAAATTCCACGAATTCATTCAATTTTAATATTGGAAATGTTAAATCTCTCTGGTTAAATTCAGGTAATTACAGGCTTCGCATTCAATTATTTTCAAAATCTAGTATTTTCATAAAATTTCGTAAAACAATTAAATTATTTTTAAAAAATTGATAAAATTCATCCAAAATTCAATTATTTTCATAAATAATAAAATTTCCACACAAATCCAATTAATTTAAAATTAATAGCATTTTACAGGAATTCAATTATTTTCAAATATTTTAATAAAATTGTTCAGAAAAATCAATTACTTTAAATACAATTTTAATTAAATTTATTTTAAATAATTCAATTATTTTTTCTTTAGATTTTAATAAAATTCTTCCCAAGAATTCAACTATTTACATAAATAATAATTCATCACAAGAATTCAATTATTTTTAAAAAAATTCTAATAAAATCGTTGTCAAGAATTCACTTATTGTCAAAAATTTTAATTGAATTCTTTGTAAAATTTAATTCTTTTTAAAAAACTTTTCGCAGTTCAATGGTTTTTAATATCAACTATTTTCATAAAATTTCCAAACAGAATTCAATTATTTAAAACATTTTTTGTAAAAATCTTCGTAAGAATTCAATTCTTTTCATAAGTAATTAAAATTTTTCAAGAATTCAATTATTTAAATTATAATTTGCATAAAATTAGTGGAAAGAAATGAATTATTTAAAAAAATTTTATAAAATTCTTCGCAAGAATTAAATTATTTTTATAAACATTTAAATTCTTTCATGAATTATAAAATTCGTTGCAGGAATTTAATTTATTAGCAGGATTTGAAAGAATTAAATATTTGTTACTAAAATTAGGAAAAAGTCAGGAAAATAAAATATAGAATGGAATTTTTATCAGTTTTGCGAAGTATCTAAAACGAGTTTTTTTGGTCGTCAAGTTTAATTTTTCGATAGCTACTTTTTTATTTTGAAAGATACTTTTTTAAAATTAATTATCGCGAGTGCGAAGTCTAATTATGGGACAATTTTTGGTCTTTTAAAATTAAATTAAATAATGTTCAAAAATTAAAATTATAGTTTGAGAATTAAACTTGCGTTCAATATGAATTGTTACTAAATAATAATTTGCTTTATTTGTCAAAAAAAAAATATTTTACTGCTAATGAAAATTCTAATGAGTTTTTCTTTTTAGGGGGTAATATTTACCAGCCCCTCGGGATCTTCGAGAAGTTCTGCTCGTCCCTCTAGAGTGATTATGTTATCTCGAGGGTCGAGAATCACCAACGTTGGAATCGCCTGAACGTCCAAGGCCCTCGCTAATTTTTGTCTTCTTTCTTCCTGAGAAAATGGTATTCTCAACCAGGGCATCGATCCCGTGTAAATGTTGTACGATTCCTCGCTTCTGTAAGTGAAAAAAATTCCATTAACTCGACTTTTCAAAATAAAAAATTTAAATTCATTTAGAATAAAATTTATTCGATAAATATAATTATAATTCAAAATTTTGAAATGAGGAAAGTATCAATTTTTCGAATAACGAGGAAATAGAATAGAAAAATATTTTTTTCTTATTCAATGGAAAATTATTGGAAAATATTCTAGTGTCGAGTGTATTTTAAAAAAACCGGCGAGTGTGAAATTATTCGATTAAAATCGCTCGTTTATTTAATTAAAAAAAAGCAGTCGCACAATGTAAAGACTGTATATATCTCTGTCTAGAGTACTTCTTCCTTCGCACCCTCTTGTAATTTTTCTCCTCTTCTTTTTTTGTCTCTCCCTCTTGTTGCTCTTCTTATCCTCTTTGCAAGAGTTTGATGCTCGAACGATAGTCGATCGATTTTCCATAAAGGTTTATGAAAGCCGTCGTGGCACATTGAACCTTTTCTACTTTTTCTCGGTGTTGGTGGGATTTTTTTTATACTTTTTTTTCAGTAACACCTTTTAACACACTCATATATATATTGTTCACTGCCAAGGCAATAATCCGCCTACTCTCCCTTTCTCTCTCTCTCGCTAACATTATCTGGCATCTCGCAATATCAAAGAGGACAGAGTCGTTACTTTACGGTCTAACATTTCATGACCCAAGATCGTAAAGAATTCTTTGTCTCCGCAAAAATATCTGATAAGACATTTTACCCTAATCTCGTTAATTTTTCGACTACTTCCTCCCTTCATTATATTGATGATATTAAATTTAGTACTTTCTTTTTTAAATTAAAATTCGTTTCGAAAAATTTATTTCTCTAGTATTTAAATAATAAATCTGGTTAATTTTGAATTTAATTTAAATTTTGATTCAGGGTTGCTAAGCAATCTGAAAACCTGGAATTGTCAGGAAATTTTATAAACCTTGAAAAAACCTGGAAAAGTCGGGGAATTTTGATCGAAATCCTGAAAAATTGTTGTTTTCTAAAGTTATTGTGTTTATTCTTCAAATCTAATTTCACGTAAATATTTCAAAATTAATTCAATTTTAAAAGAATTGCGTTTACAATTTTCATAAGTAGATGAACTTTAAAAGATTTTGATTTAAAATTTTGTACAATTTCCATTTTAAATGAATTTAATAAGAAATATATTAAAAAAACTTAGATTTAAAAAAAATTTAATAACTAAAATTCTTCTTAAATTATTAGTTTAATGGAATTCCTCGAAAAATGTAATTATTCTTAAAAGTTTTATTAAAATCTATCACAGAAATTCAATTATTTTAAAAACATTTGCTACAATTTATTTATTAGAATTTAAGTATTATTTTCAATGCATTTTTAATTTAAATTCTTAAAAAAATTAAATTATTTTCAAAAATTTTAATGAAATTCTTTGCGTAACAATTCAATTATTTTCAAAATCATTTTAATAATATTCTTCCCAGAAGTTCAAGTATGTTTAAAAATTTACAAAAATTCTCGCCAAAATTCAATTATATTCAGGAATTTTTATAAAATTCATTGTAAAATTCAATTGTTTTCATAAATAACAATATTCATTTCAAGAATATTCAAATATTTTCAAAATAAAAAAAATTCTTCGCAGAAATTCAATTATTTTCAGGAATTTTAATAAAATTCATTGCAAAATTCAATTATTATCAAAATTTTTTCTTAATTCAATGATTTTCAATATTCTATTATTTAAATAAAATTTCCCTAAAGAATTCAATAATTAAACAAAAATTTTGATAATATTCTACACGAACATTCAATTATTTTCCAAACAAATAAAAAATTCTTCGCAGTATAATTCAATTACATTTTTAATTTTAAAATTCTTTTCAGGGATTTAATTATTTTCATAAATAATAAAATCATTCGGAGAAAGTCAATTATTTTCATAAATAATAATATATTCATCACAAAAATTTGAATAAAATTCATTGCAAAATTTCCATTATTTTCCAAACATTTTTCTTAATTCAATAATTTGTATATATCTTTTATTTTAATAAAATTTCCCAAAAGAATTCAATTATTTAAAAACAATTTTGACAAAGTTGTACACGAATGTTCAATTATTTTTTAAAATAATGGAAATTTCACATAAATTGAATTATTAAAAATAGATTATTATTAAATTATTAAAAACTTTGCTACAATTTATTTATTACAATTTAAGTATTATTTTCAATACATTTTTAATTAAATTTCTTTAAAGAATTAAATTATTTTCAAAAATTTTTATGAAATTCTTTGTAACAATTCAATTTTTTTCAAAATAATTGTAATAAAATTCTTCGCAGAAATCCAATTATGTTTAAAAATTTACAAAAATTCTCGTCAAAATTTCAATTATCTTTATAAGTAATAAAATTTTTCTCCGCAATTAAATTATTTTCAAAACTTTAAATAAACTTCTTAGCAGAATTTCAATTATTTTTAATACAATTTTCATCAAATTTCTTGAAAAATGCAATTATTCTTAAAGATTTTATTAAAGTTTAGCAAAGATATTCAATTATTTTAAAAACTTTGCTACAATTTATTTATTACAATTTAAGTTTTATTTTAAATACATATTTAATTAAATTTCTTTAAAGAATTAAATTATTTTCTAAAATTTTTATGAAATTCTTTGTAACAATTCAATTTTTTTTCAAAATATTTTTAATAAAATTCTTAGTAGAAATTTAATTAATATAAAAAATTTGTCAAAGTTTAATTAGTTTTAATTTCTACTATTTCAATAAAATTTCATAAAATAATTCAATTATTTTCAAAATTAATATAATTCTTCGCAAAAATCCAATGATGTTAAAAAATTTACAAAAATTCTCGTCAAAATTTCAATTATCTTTATAAAATAATAAAATTTTTCTCCGAAATTCAATTATTTTCAAAACTTTTAATAAAATTCTTGGCAGAATATCAATTATTTTTAATACAATTTTCATCAAATTTCTCGAAAAATGCAGTTATTCTTAAAATTTTTATAAAAATTTGTCAAGAGAATTCAATTATTTAAAAATTTGTTCATAAAATTTATTTTATTTTTATAAATTTTTATTATTTTTTATAAATTATGTCTACGAACATATTTTTTATTCATTGTATTCATCTGTATTTAAAGGTTTTTTTTGGTCTGTTAATTTCTAAATAAACAAATAAATAAATAAAGTTCTTTATGAAAATTCAATTTTAAGAAACATTCAATTGTTTCATAAAATATTTATGACAATAAATAATTTGACAATAATTTGACTCTAATCAACAATAAATTCTTACATCTTCTATATAAAATATTTATGTCTAATATATTTAATTGAAGAATGTCAGAATAATCGAAATTTGGTAAAATTAAATTGTAAACCCTGATTTGGTTATAAAAGTTATTTTAAATAATTTTTATAATTTATATTTCAAAGTACTTACCTAAATGTTTATTTTTGACATATTTAGAAATATTAATATTTGTAAAATATATTTGAATATAAATAATATTTCTTTTGTTGCAGAAAAACAATTTTAATAGACGATTTCGAAAGATTTTTTTCGAAATCAAAAACTGTGAATCTCAGCGTCTATCATCAGGTAAGAATTTAAAAGAAAATATTTTTTTAATTATTTACAAAAGTTATCTTGCATTTTTTAATGTTTTAAAAATTAATATTTTATTTTGATAATAGTTATTTTATTTTGTTGCAGGAAAAACAATTTAACAAAATGGCGAATTTAAAAATTAAATAGAAGTCAAAGAAAGCTGGGATATTTTTTTCAATTCAAAAACTGCAAATTTCAGACGGTATGTGTAAGAATTTAAAAAAATTAGTTTTAATACAATTTTTCAGTGAATAATTTTACCTCATTTGACAAGAAAATTTCTTTATAAAATATTGATTTTGATACGTTTAGAAATATTAATATCTTTAATTTTTACTTGAATCTAAAATGACAGAAATATTTCTTTTGTAGAAAAACAATTCAGCAGAACAGCGATTTAAAATGTTAAATGGAGGTGAAAAAAGTTTGGAGATATTTTTTTTTTCAATTCAAAAACTGTGAAACTCAGCGGGATTAGGTAAGAGCTTATTTATTTAAAAAATAGTCTCTTCACATATCCTTTGAATGAAAAAGTGCATTATAAGGGTCGAGGGTGGTTGAACTTATAAGGAACATTATTCATGTGACTTTATATGAGGTGCCTTTTCATGAGTCTTTTCTAAATCTCGGTAAGCTTATGCCGTGTCAGAAAAGTAATCTCTCTCTGACATGAAGTTCAAGTAAGTCACGTTTGTGTCAAAAGAAAAACCTCGTCAAATTTTCCTGCTCTGAATTTTTTTTTTCAGTTTCTCTATATTATTTATTCTGTTATTTTTTTTTTCTTCCTCCCTCCCTCCCTTTTTTTATTCTCATTTTATTCAAAGCCTATATATGTGCCATTCGCAGCAATTGGCTTCGTTCCAGAAAAAGTCCTTTCTTCATGAACGCCCGTCACTTGAATTTAATAATCAGATTAAACGAGGACAGAGGAAGGAATGCAACGAATTTTAAATATGATGGAGGACAAGGTTTCGAGGTATTAAAGTACATTGAAAAGCAAAGGCAGGAAGTGAAAAGTAGACTGGATTTAAAGACAATAAGGAAATGTCGAAGTTTTATAAGTTTAAAGTGTTCATAATGTTTTATATTTTGGTACTATTTAAAATTGAGTTTTTGATTTTTATATATATTTTTTTATTTTAATTGAAATTATTAAATAATTAATCTAAAGTGTAAGGTAAAGGAGAATGCCGGAAGGCAGGAACTATGTATAATAAATAAATAATAATCAGATTATAGGGCTCAACGTCATATTCAAACTTTCAAACTTTTATGGTAAAAAAAAAAGAAAATTGCAAAGTAGACAAGTTTCTTTCTTTTTGATGAATTTCGTTTTATAGCGAAATTATTTTATAATTTGAAATTTAATTTTTGAAAAGTTTTCATATTTTGGTGTTTATAGTTTTAATTATTTTTTAACAGTAATTTTCAAATTTAATACAAATTGTTAATAAATTTTTTATTTTTTTTTATTTAAATTAATTATGATTTACTTATTATTAATTATTTAATTTTAATTAATTTAAAATAAATTTATGAATTATTTTTTTATTTTTTTAATTTCAAATTAAATTTTTTACTTTAAATTATTTTTAATTATTTTTTAACCACAATTTTCAAATTCAATAGTAATTATCAGTAAATTAATTATTTATTTGTATTTATTATTTTTTTATTTCATATATTAATTTAAAACATAAAGTCCCGCAGTCTTTATTATTTACTTATTATTAATTATTTAACTTTAATTAATTTAAAATTATTTTTCCATTTGTTCAATTATTATTTAATTTTAGTTATTTTAAATTCAATTTTGACTTTAAATTATTTTTAATTTTAATTTTAAATTATTTGTTTAACTAAAATTTTTAAATTTAATAGTAATTATCAATAAATTTACTATTTATATTTTCATTTATTATTTGTCATTAATTTATTATTAATTAATTAGTTTTAATTAATTTCAAATTAAATTTTGTATTTTTCTATTATTATTTAATTCATTTATTTATATATTATTATATTATCTATTTGTTTATCTAATTTATTTATGACTAATTTATAAATCATTATTTACAGTTATTTATTTATTTATTAGTTTTATTTTCTTATTATCTATTTCTTTTTTATTTTTATTATTTAATTTATCTACATATTTAGTACCTATTTAATCCATTTACTTATTATTAATTAGTCAATTAATTAATTAAATAATTAATTTAATTAATTTCTTTTTCCAGAAATTAATTTTTCAATTTTGAATTATTTTTAAAATTTATTATTTATTAATTAATCATCATTATTATTCAAGTAATTAATTATAAATTAATTAATTAATTAAAATTAAATTTTATATTTTAATTTATTAATTAATTAATTAGTTGTAACGAATAATATAACATTAATAATAATAATAATAATAATAATAATAGATAGAATAATTAATAAATAAAAAAAAAATTAAGTAATAAATAGAAAAATTATTTTACATAATGCAGAATTTTTATTCAGTTTGAAATTAAGTATTGAAATTTCTAATTTAAATTTAAATAAAAAATTGTTAATTAAGGTTAAATTAATTGTTAATAACAAAAATTAGAAACTTATCATTTTTTAATAACGGAAAGATTCATATTCCTGTCTTTCGTTTTTGAATTCATAACATTTTGCCGCCCTTTCAGACTAACCAATCAGAGGGCTTAATTTCTATCACAGGAAGTCATTGATTCAAAATTTTCATTCTCTATATTTGGGAATATTTTTACATATTTCTATTGTTAGATTATCGATTAAATAGTAAGAAACAAGAAAGATTAATTAGGATTTTCAATTAATGTCGATAGATCAGTGAATAATTAGTAATATCACGATTAGTGAATAAATTCAAGTCACTTGTTGGCTGGAAATTTCGAGATCACGTGACATTGTGTATGATCACGTGATGTTTGGTTAACTTCCTGTTGAGCGGGCGGCCATGGCACATTCCGTCTCGTTGCGATCGTGTGTTTTTCATTATTTTACTGTGAATAAATTGTTATTGTGCATGTAGTGTTTCGTAAATTTTCCATATTTTATGGGATTAAGATATGTGGAAATGGTTTTTATGGAAAATATTCGATAAATAGTGGGATAAATTGGCGAATTAGTGTTCCGGCCGGCAGGGTGCAATGTGACATTTTCGCCATTGTGGTAAGAAAAGTATAGTGTGATATTGTTTATTTATTGTTAATTGTTACTTTTTTACTTGTATGGGTAATTCTTTTGAACTTTCGAACATTTGGGATAAAGACAAATGCACTGTATTTGTTTTCAGATGTGGGGGAAGTGAGGGGGTATTGTCAAAAAGGCAGAAAGTCGACAAACATTTTTCGGTCACTATACTTTATTATGGTAAATCCGGTAAATCATTCGCAAATTATTTTATTTTAATATTATTTGTTCGAAATTTTATAGATTTTCGATGAAATTAGTTGAAATTTTTAGTGTTTTTTATGTTAATGATGATTTCTCTTTACAAATTTTCGTTAATTTGACAATAAAAATTTGAGGTTATGTTCGCAATTGGAACTTTTATTTTCTTTTGCAAAATGAAAATAATTTTCAAAACAATTTTCGTTCAGTGTGTATATTAGTGAAATTTGTTCGTAAAATACGTTTCAGAGGAAATTTTTTGTACACCTATAAATTCTGTGATATATTTTTGTTTTCTTGTACTTTTAGCTTATACAATAATAAATAGTAGAAGTTTTTGGAAATATTTTGTGATTAAATTAAATATCTTATTATATTCATTTTTCTTAATTATTGTATTCTTAATTATTATTTTTCAATGACAAATTTTTTTAGATTATAAACTTCGAAAATTTTGTCAATTTTTCTTTGTTTATAATTTTTGGAAAACTGTTCAAAATTATTGTTTTTTCAAGAAATGCTTCTTTTTAACTTAAGTTTTTAATATTCATTATTCAGTTAGACATTTTATTGTTAAATTAATTTTTATTTTTAAAATTATTGTTTTATTTTGTAATGACAAATAATATAATAATAAATTAATAGTAATAATAATAATAACATAATAATTAGTATAATAATGACAGTAAATTTTTTTTAGGTGTGTGATTTGAAATATTTACTTTTACTTCGATGGACTTTTGATGAATCAAGTGGCCTAAGAATTATTTAAGACGATACTAATTGGACTTCCGTTTTGCATTTTCTCTCCTTGGAACTGAAGAGCAGGAAGCTTGTTCGGTGAGTCCTTTCTTTCCCAACTAGTGATGAATTCAGATAGTAATACATTTTTTTTAAATCATACAGAGACAACTAGTTGAACTAATTAATATTATTTACCCAATATTCTAATTAATTTGTAATAATTATTACTTAAATTCATTAATATAATTATTTTTAATTTCTTAAACTTTATTAGAATTTAATAAATAAAATAATAGTAATCTAAAATTATTCAAATTTTTTAAAAAAATTAATTAAACTAGAAAATTAAATGAATTTTGAATTGTCGCTTTTTCTCTTGTTTCAAAGAAAAAAAAATATTTTCCACATAAACATTGCAGCTAACAATTTTTATTGATAGAATGTCAAGTAGTATTTTATTTTATCCTCTTTGTCACTGCGTTATTTTTTCTTTGATTTCATTTTTTTCCATAAAAAATAAAAAAATTAGTTTTTTATTTGCCAATATTTTGCAAAAATTACAATATTTGAATGCTTAATTCTTATTCGTTATGAAAAATGTGAAATTTGAATTAAACTGTTCTTAAAAAATTAAAAAGTTTCTATAATTGGAAAAAATGTAAAATAAAAAGAAATAATGCGGAAAAATAAAAATAGAAATTCAACAGATAAGAATAGAAAGAGAATTCTTTTCTTTTCAACTAGACTTGAAATATGTTATGTGGGGAACGAAAAAAAGAAGACTTTTTCGTTTTCTACATTTCATAATTTCCGAGATTTTCTCACTTTCTATATATTAAGGAAATTGCAAGATTTCCTTCCCCTAAAGACGGGGGCAATGTTATGTCCCTGAATTTACGTTGACATCTCACGCTTTAAGCGAAAGTCAACTTTTCACCCCTAAAATATACACTATATATATTCTTTAACGCTTCTCGTTTCACCCGAACATTTCACGAGTAATGAAAGTTTATTCAAAACTTCTATTTAATTTCCTTTTTCGCAAAAGAATTTATTGAAGCTCTCTTTCTCTCTCTCTCTCATTCATAAAAAAAGAGTCAATGAAATGGAAATTATCTTTACATTTTCTCAGGATAATTTTTTCTGTACATAAAATTTACAATCGTAATTCATCCGAGACGATTGTAAAATAAATTTTACAAATTTGCTTTTTATTAACTTAAATTGAATCTATTAAGAGATATCAAAAGATATTTTACATTATTGAAATTAAATTAGAATATATTATTTTATTGAAATTAAATTACTAAAGAAAAAAAAAATTAAAATTGAATTAAATATTCAATAAAATTTGTTCACAATTTTTTTCATTGAAATCTAATTGGACTATTTGATTCGAAAACAAGATAAAAGTGTCTTGAAAATCTCTTGGTGAATTTTTTTTTTTGGGAAACTTAATTTTCAAAGGGAGAGTCTTCGATAGAAGGGATCCTTTGAATGTTACACCTCCTCGAGGGAATATATCCCCTAATTTATTGGGAATAGCATTAGTGGAAAATTGGGGAACTATTTCTTGAACGTTGGGTAGTTGGTTATATATTAGTCGAATTTCCATTCGAAGCACTTCCGCTTTGCTTTAAATAAATTTCCATTATTTTCTTTTTTCCTCGTTTCACTAGAATACTAGTCGATTGTTTATTATTGTTAAAATAATTATTAAATTCGAATAATTGTAGCGAACATTTCAATTTTTATAAATAGCTAAATTCTTCGACAAAATTCCATTATATTGAGGAATATTTATAAAATTCATTGTAAAATTCAATTATTGTTTTCATAAATAAAAATATATTTCAAGAATTCAATTGTTTTCAAAATAAAAAAAATTCTTCGCAGAAATTCAATTATTTTCAGGAATTTTAATAAAATTCATTGCAAAATTCAATTATTTTCAAGGTACAAAAAGTTTTGAACGTTCAAATGAACGAAATATTTTTTGTTAAAAATATTTTCATAGTTTATTGATTACAATTAATGTTAAAAACTTAAATTTTACATTTAGAAACTTTATAATTAATTTGTTTAATAGTGACACAAAATTTTGTATTAAAAATTTAATTTGAAGAAGAAATAAATAAATTTCGTTCATTTGAACGTTCAAAACTTTAAGATCATTATTTTCAAAATTTTTTCTTAATTCAATGATTTTCAATATTCTATTATTTAAATAAAATTTCCCTAAAGAATTCAATTATTAAACAAAAATTTTGATAATATTCTACACAAACATTCAATTATTTTCCAAACAAATAAAAAATTCTTCGCAGTATAATTCCATTACATTTTTAATTTTAAAATTCTTTTCAGGGATTTGATTATTTTCATAAATAATAAAATCATTCGGAGAAAGTCAATTGTTTTCATAAATAATAATACATTCATCACAAAAATTTTAATAAAATTCATTGCAAAATTTCCATTATTTTCCAAACATTTTTCTTAATTCAATAATTTGTATATATCTTTTATTTTAATAAAATTTCCCAAAAGAATTCAATTATTTAAAAACAATTTTGACAAAGTTGTACACGAATGTTCAATTATTTTTTAAAATAATGGAAATTTCACATAAATTCAATTATTAAAAATAGATTATTATTAAATTGTTAAAAATTTTGCTACAATTTATTTATTACAATTTAAGTATTATTTTCAATACATTTTTAATTAAATTTCTTTAAAGAATTAAATTATTTTCAAAAATTTTTATGAAATTCTTTGTAATAATTCAATTTTTTTCAAAATATTTTTAATAAAATTCTTAGTAGAAATTTAATTAATATAAAAATTTTGTCAAAATTCAATTATTTTCAATTTCTACTATTTCAATAAAATTTCAAAAAATAATTCAATTATTTAAAAAGAAAATTTAATAAAATTCGTCTCAAAAATTCAATTATTTTCAAAAGTAATATAATTCTTCGCAAAAATCGAATGATGTTATAAAAATTACAAAGATTTTCGTCAAAATTTCAATTATCTTAATAAATAATAAAATTTTTCTCCGTAATTCAATTATTTTCAAAACTTTTAATAAAATTCTTGGCAGAATTTCAATTATTTTTTATTCAATTTTCATCAAATTTCTCGAAAAATGCAATGTTCTTAAAAATTTTATTAAAATTTGTCAAGAGAATTCAATTATTTGAAAATTTGTTGATAAAATTCTTTATGAAAATTCAATTTTAAGAAACATTCAATCGCTTAATAAAATATTTATTTTTATAGTTAAATAATTGAATTCTTGTAGAATTTTGTAATAAATATTGATTTAAAAATGAATTTCAAATTAAAATCTTTGAAAATTTGAACTTTTCATACAATTAATTAATAAATTCTATAGAATTAATTTTTCTCAATAATTTTAATGGAATTGTTTTTAATTATTTGAAGTTTTTAATTTCTAATATATTTAATTGAAGAATATAAGAATAATTGAAATTTCGTAAAATTAAATTGTAAACAAAAGAATTTGAAAATTCACAAAGAACTTTTTTAAAAATTATTAAAAAAAATTGACTTAAAGAAGAATTTTAGTTGAAAATTCTAGAAATGAATATTGTAATGATGAAAATAATTTTTGAAGAAGTTACAGTAATTTCAAATTTTTGAAAATCTTAATTTTTATAAAAAAAATGATTAAATATTTATTAAAAAATGAAGTTATTGATGTTATCGAAGAATTTTCGTTTTAAAAACCTGGAAAAATTCCGTGGAATTTAAAAAAGAGCAAAAGCGTGGCAACCCTGGATAATAATTGAAATTTGGAGAATTTACTGATAATTGAAATTTTTGGAAATAATTGAATTTTGTAAAGGTTTCAAATTAAACTCTTTGGAAATCTGAATTTTTCACCAAGTTGAAGTCCACAACGTTGATCAACGAAAAAAATTGTTTACTTAGTAAATTAATTAAATGTTGACACAAAAATATTTAGAAAAAAAATATTGATGCTTATATTTTGATAATAATTATTTTACAATTAAATATTAAATTTAAAATAATACTTGAAAGTATTAAATAAATTTTTTTCGTTGATAAACGTTGTGGACTTCAACTTCGTAATTTTTCATGCTTTTAGTTAAAAATTCTGTGAAACTAATTTTTTTCAAAAAGCTTAATCGAAATTTTTTAAAATTATTTCTAGTTTTTATTTTCTAATGTACATTTAATTGAAGAATTTCCAAATAATCAAAATTTTGCGTAAAATTGAATTGTAAACAAATGGATTTGAAAATTCGTAATTCCCCGAGTCGATGACTCGGAGTGATCGATATCTTCATGTTTTATAATAATATTTTTATAATTTATTAAATTTCAAAAAGTTTTGAATTTCAAATTTTCGAAAATCTTTTTTCCAATTGAAGTTAATAATGTTTTTGAATAATTTTTCAATTAAAGAAATTCGCAAATAAATGTAATAGAACATTTTTTCAGTCATTTTCATTTCTTATTTTTTAAAGTCGATTAAATTATTCTTTAGGATCAGGGAAAAAGTCAAAATTTTGTCTGGAAATCAGGGAAAAACAAAATTAAATTTTTGGGCAACCTTTTAATAATTATTATTATTATTATTAACTTTTTCTTTCTTTTTGAACAAAAAAAGATAATTTCTGTTACTTTTTGCTTTATTTTTGAGTATTTCGTCTTTTTTTTTTTAGAAATATTCCCGATACTTGTGAATTTTATCTGATGGAAAATTTTTTTTTCTTTCTCTCTTCGTAAAATGTATATAAAAATAAATATTGAGAAGTGAATTTTCTTTTTTCCATCGTTTGGTTTGTTTCCACGTGATTCGTCTCCTGGTTTTCATCTATAAAATGGAAGAGGCAAAAACCCCCTTTACCCCTTGGTAATAAGCAATAATTTTACTCTCTGACGTTGAATCGCACGGGGATCGCAAGGTTCTTTATCAGCTCTTACCACGGTCATTACCCCTGTGCAGAATTTTCCCTCTGAATAGAATCAAGCTCTAGACATTTCGAGTTTCTCATTCCATGGAATTCAGAATAATTTACCTCGACATAACATTAATT